CAGTTCTCCGGAAACTGAAATCAGTTTCATAAAAAGTAAAGTATTTCAGATATGCATCAGCCTCTCGTCACGGTGCTCTTCATTGTTCCCTGTACTCCTGTTGGTTGGATCTAATGTGGTTCGAGGTTGTCTGAGGCAGAAATTGAAATTCGGTTCCAAAATTGAAGCGAAAGCTTCTCGGCAAATCAGTTGCAGAGCATTTTAAGAAGGTGTGGTAAAAGAAGGGACATTCAGATTCCATCTAAATAAGTCATTTAATTCTGGTGATGGATGACTCAAGGACATGTACACCAAGTGTACTCGCTTTATCCATTCACGAAGACCATACACGTGGGAGGGCTTTCTTATATTTTTCGCGTTACAGAAAAATAATGCGTAAGCTAATTCAGAAGCAAATACTCTAGGGCAGAAGGGTGGACTACGAATAAAGCTGCAGTGGTAGTAGCGAGGAGAGTGATTTATGTGTGGAAAACGCTTCATAAGGAGGGACAGGCTTGTAAGCACGCACGTGAACTAGCGGCAGGAAGCATAAACAGTGCGTGAGTAGCGTACATTAACGTTGATACAGATAGATTAATAAATTAGTAGCGGCAGCATGGCCCACTAAAATTAGGCAAAACAGATACATAATTGTAACCACTTGCAAAAGAAAAGGCAACCGTGGCACAAAACCGATGCACAGAAAACACCTTTCTGTACCTTGCACGGGAATCAAAATGAAATACAGGCACAGAAAGGGAGGTCAGTATTGAGCGAATTAAGCTAGACATTTCTCTGCGCCATCACCGTGTTGGCACGATAACGTGCTAGGAAGTGTCCAAGCTGCTCAAACATCGCCACACTTCAATGGTGTTGAGCACGTTGTACCAGTAAAGAATTTTTCTTTTCGAAACCTTATGGGTTAAAAATTCGCTCTTTGAAATATTTACTAAATGCGTGAATATGAGTCATGGCTTCACCAATCTAAATTGCCAGTAGTTGCAATGTCCTTTAGGCCATGGCGATGTCCACAGCCCTCGAGGCACCGCAATCCCCTTTAAAGAGGAAGTGAATTCGACTTTGAAGATAGAATCGAAATTAAAGAGTGAAGAATAAACCATAAATAAGGCAGCCAGTAGATACACGAAGAGTATTGGCTAGTCAATGACAATTACTCGGCAGCGATAAGTAAACGTGACGTCAGCGGCCCCGCCAAACTACTTGAAAATGAATTATAACAATGTTAACTTAATATCCCACTAAAAAGAGTGGAACTGCAATCATCCCTATTGTCAAATATCTAAAATTAAATGCAAGAAATTCGTGCTCTAAAATAGGCTAACACAAATGAAAATTTGGTGATATGTGCAAGAATGAAATTGGTGTTTAAAGTCTACGCGCACTGTATTTTTGTTTGTATACGCCTTTTTACATAGCTAGTAGGCAGGTTTGAAGAACCCATGACTGAGAGGACGTTGTCAGCCCTCGATGAGGAAACACTCTAAGTGCCCCATAAATCTGTTATTTTTATTATCCCACACTGCACGGCACAAGATGTTTTCCGTCAATCATTTCCCTCGATCAGAGAGTATAAACCAAGGGCTAGACAAGCAAAATTGCAAAAAAAATAATGCAAGTGTTTCCAAGCCGAAATAAGTTCATTAACTGTTTTTGGGAATTAAGGTTAAACCCCTCTAGGTATATCATGTGCTTAGAACAAACCAGCAACAACAGATACGGACTATTAAAAGTCTTGTTTCTTGGTGATTTGTAAGTTTAGTTGAAACAAGTAGACATTTTAATCATACAAAGAAAAATTGTTTGAATGGCTTTACCTACTTGCAAACCCTTTTAAATCCGCCTATGGTTCGGCTCTGCGCGGGTTGGTTCATCTCATCTTGTGATTTACCTCTATTCGAAAACCGGGGTATTATGCACTTGTTCTCCATTTCCCGACATCAGTTGGACTCTAAGTATATTCATATTACTGGAAGTCCATTCTCACCTTAGAATACCAGGATCCTTATTGTTCTATTGAGTGTAAACGGAATGTTGTATTATTTCTAGTTTGGCACTTTGGTTGGTTACGCAACCATTCACTTTTCATTTATACATTTTTTATTATTAAATAGGTTTCAAGGCGAATTATTGTTCGTTTATACACCTCCGCAATAGAAATGTCCAACCTCAGACTTCCGGCATTTTATTACAAAAAGTAAGTTGTAAACCGGCTTTAATGTTTTGTTCTCTTGCAAACACTGTGTATTACGTTGATCCTGCCCCATACAGGACCAGCAATGAAACGAAAAAGTTCTGTCAAAAGTGCCTCCAAGATGGGCACTGGACTTATGAATGCAAAGGCAAGCATAAGTACCTGGAACGGGAATCGAGAACTGCCCATCTCTCTCGACGCATGGCGAAGATTTCGAAGTGGGTTTGCTTACTTTTATACAATTCAGCCACTGCATATCTCTACCCATTTTCAATTAGTTTGAATTGTCCATTAGTGTGTGTTCCAAAAATTTTCATGGGAATCGTGAATACAATTTCCTAGCCCTTACTAGAATAGCGTGTTGAAATACCCTTGCCAAAGTGTACTCATGAAGGTGATTTTGCTTTGCGCATAGAAAAGAATTGGAGAGAACTGCATCGGATTCCTCCCCGCACTCTTCATCTACGTCCTCCTCATCCTCAGACAGCGAGGATTCATCAGACTCCTCTTCGTCTTCATCCTATACTAGCCCTTCGTCCGACGAGTCTGAGAAGTCCTCATCCAGCTCTGCAAGCTCTTCAGGTAGCAGCGCTTCATCGTCGTCTAGCGGCATAAGTGCTCATGTGAAAGATAAATAGATTGTCTTTATATTGGCTTTGCTACTTGGATAAAATACAGTTGATTGGAGGAATTGATTCCTCTTTCCTGACGTATTATTGCTTTCACCGTGTTTCTGTGGCGGAAATCGGTTTACTTCACGCGGATTTCTTTGATTTTGTGCGAGTATCCTATACGTATGCTACTCAAATAACTCGTAACTGTTGAATTTTTTGGAACGTGCGGTTATTTTTTCCTTAATGGCAAAGCAGCACTTCCGTTCAACTAGCTTTGGATTCTAGCCCTTTAAATATTTATTCCTTTCCTTAACTACAGGGTCTTATCTGTTTCTGAATATGCTTCTTTCGAGTTAGTGGACGTTAAATATAAGGGCGCAGTTTCTAGCCTTATACACAACTTTGTTTATCCACATCCAGTAGGCTTTTACACTTCTTAGTCATGAAAATTACGGCCTTTGGTTTAAGGTACCGACTTGGTGTGTTGATAATACAGTTTCATCTATTCTTCATAGGGCTAAACTGACAATGATTAGGCTGGTCTTGTAGCTTCAAGGGTCTTAATCTCATTTAGGCACGCGGTTTTACGCGTTGGCCTTTTCTTTAAGGGGCTGTGAACTTGGTGTATAACTAGTGATCTCAGCTTTCTTAGAGGAGAGCGAATTAAGGGTTATTCTATCTGAGTCAGAGCTGACATCAGTGTTCATAGATATTATTAGATGTAAGACTGTTACTTCTTGAAGCTTCCTAATTTGGATACAGACCTTGGTGATGACGATGGTTCTGAACCCGTGTAGCTATATGATTCAATGACTTGTGCGCATTATTATAAAGTCAATGCAGAGTTTGGGATCTCTGTACGGGATTGATATAGGGTTTATTGCGTCGTCATTTTCCCGGGGCCGAGTTTCTAATAGCCGCCGACCAGGCGATTCTGCGTTCTGTTATATTCGCTGCTGCATCTTGGCTTTCCATGTCAAGGCGTGTTTATCGTTGCATTACTGATACAAATGAGTAGAATAAGTATTTTATGCACATAAGGTCAATAATCCTAGCGTTTCAGGGGCGGTGCCTTTCGGATTACATTGACAGTTAATGGGAGTAGGGCCGAAGGGTTGTTTTTTCAATCTTTTTCTTCTTTAGCATTTAATTCTGGGTAGGTTCGCACTTTTCATCTGTGGGCAGCAGACTTCATGTGGAGTGCATACTACTCATTTCAAACTAGCGAGTTATTTACCTAATTCCAACCCGTCAAATCATCGACATGGCTGAATTGTATTGTCAGAGATAGAGTGCTCAAGCCCCAGATCGCATTGTTATTTTTTTTTCTAGAAATCTGTATTCTCACGCTCAGGATGCGTTGTGTTCAGGTAAGCTGCTTTAGAAAAATGCGGGGGGTACTGGATGCATATTCGTAAAATTAACCGCTTTTGTGATAATGTGGAGTTTTTACCACTTCTACATAGCCGTTATTCTAGAATTTCATCTATTTTCTTTGTACGCAATAATTTGCGGTTATTTTACAGCCATACATAATTCTTGCAGGTTTCCAGATAGCTCTTGCATCCTTGCCATACTATCGTTTTAGAACACGAATTTTATGGAATACGAATACTAAGGCTTTGTTTCGAACTCTAGTTTTTAGTGAGCCGGAGATTTTTGAAGGTCTAACACAATACAGATGCACAAAGTTGCTTCGCTTAAAAAGTAGGACTGCTCCACCTGAGTAACGGCATCGAGGAGAGGCGTGTGATTTGCCCTGATGCGCTATTCTCGCCTTCTAAGGGCAGGGGGCTACTTTACGGATTGCGCCAAGGGAAGAAGGCGTAATTACGAGCTTGTGATGACGCTTCATATGATTTGTTGACAGGGCTCCGATTGCCTCTGAGGGGTGTTGGAGTCGGAGGCATGAGTGCTCTCTTGTAGAACACCATTTGTCGCTAAGCCTATCAATGCATGCCTGTCAAATTGGTAGGGAACCCCTTCACATCGCACTCACAGCTACTTTTTCTACATCGTCACTATATTGTTTTATCAAATTATACTAAGTAATAAAAATCCCTCCTCTCAGTGTTTGAATGTACCTGAGTTAGTTAATAAGATTGATCAGGGATTTAAACAGAAGACAATTTGTGATTAAGTTGCTCTCTATTTTTGGGGAAATTTGACCACGTCTACTGAAATGAAGGGTGCTATAGGTCTTTGATTATGTTCACAAAATAGCCAATATGTGTTTCTGGTTTACATACTCTTTGGATCCGATCAAATGCTGCATCGAGAGTTCCAATCGAAGTTTTATTTGAGGGGAATGGGCAGTGAGCCTTATGTCTGTAAACAATAAATTTAATTAGATCTGTTTAAACAACTATTCTACCAGTAACGAAACTTTCGTGCCCGTTAGTAGTGTTATACGTGATGTTGTGGCTGTAAGGATGTGGATCTCTAAATTCCTCAGTGTTGCTATACACAGCTATCAAAGCCGGAGAAAGTTCAGGGATAACTCACGAACTGTGACCATCTAAGGCTTACCAACGGGTATGGTAGAATGTGTTGCCATTTCGGTTATAAGACTTCCACTTTAGATAACATTTTAATTTCGACAAGTCATTCGGAAACATTTACGCTTGTTCAGTTACTTCAGCCTGAGGAGAATTATTTTCCCTTATTAATTGGATCCCTTTTACATTTAAAGGTATGAAACTTAGTTTTGATTCGAAATTGACGACAATTTATCCATGCGATTTGAGGACGGTAGTAATAATAGGGTGTTTTAATGCTTTGAAATGAAACTGGAAATATTCAATCCGATGCAGAAAATAGCTCTCGGGTGGGCTCCCTATTGCAGTGCTACGTCACCGTGAGTTAGCTAGCTTTGCGCACAATTGTGGCGAAGGTTGATACTTGATAAAATTTATGGTACAACCCAAAACCGTTTACTAAATTCAAAAATCGCAATACGTTTGACACGCCTCCCCATCTAATGACAATCATGATATATTATTCTTTTTAATTTGGGAACAATTAAGCCCCAGTAAGAACCTTGAATTACATCAATAAACAACTGCTTCATTCGTGTATAGTCATCTGATTTTCGGTTAGAGGAACTTGCACAAATGAAAAAAATCAACTAAAGTCCCAAAATGGTTGCCCCCGGCGACCAGCAAATGGACCATAGCTACACAGCGAAATCAAGATCACTGGTTTTGCCTCAGTAGTACCATGGGCGTTCAACGGAGCGTGAACGTCTGTGATGGTCTGATGATTCGTCGTAGGTGTATGAAGGAGAATAAGAGGTCCTGAGGGACCCAGGCTTGTAAACAGTGAGGCCGGAAGAATTGCACGAGATTACTACGGATTCGTGCTCCCGGTACCTCGAACCGTGTCGATCAGTGTAAACCTGAGATCGTGGTCTGGAGTGCTGTCTGGGCGGTGAGGTGTGATAGCGACTGTAGGATCGAGAGCCGCGATTGGGAGAGAGGGACCGCCCGTGCCGTGGTAACTGCCCATAGATGAGCCAATAGAGGAAGGAACAAAATGCTTCAAGCTGTCCTTCCCTCCGGAACACAACGAACCAGTAGCCCGTCTTTGAGCGTCGCCTAGCTTGAATTAAGAAGCCAACGGCCTTGCTCTTGAAGTTGAAGGGATAGTAGTCAATTATATCCTGACTAAAAATGGTGATTTTTTCACGTTCCTCCATCGGTCCACTGATGTCCTTCATTTGAATAACCCACTCATTTCCTCGAATTAGCACAACCTTGCCTGGCTCCTCCATGCACTCCTTAAAGAGACGATACACGAGACAGTAGCCACGGTTTGTATGCGGCTCCACAGGAATAAATCCATAGTTGTAGGCCACCTCTTCAAAGCGAACTGGAGCGGCGGACATTTGACAGTGGATGGAGTGAAGGCTTCAGCGTCGCCTTGTGAAACTTACGCACTCGGTTGCGCGAATGCATACAAAAGCGATGTGTTAACTGAAAATCCACTGAGAAATGTGTGTGATCGTATGCGTGCGCACGTTTGGGCTTTGAGCAACATGTGAGAATCCTCATTGGCCTAATAGACGCAATCTGAGTCCTGCAATCAAATGATTAATTTCATTACTGACTTTGTCACGGTTGAAATCCAAAGCACTATTTTTTTATTCTGCATCCAAATAAACCGATGGTGAGAGGCGCGGATGAATTAACTATGCTTTCCATCCAAGTCCATCAACAGGGGTGCACCACTTTCGTCATCTACCATGCAGTTCACTTGAAACCCTCATTTCGTAGGATGTTATGGGGATAAAGTGGGCAAGTCATAACGCCAAATGGTACACAAATATAAAAAGAGGGCTTGGTGTGCATAACATATTATCGATAAAGAGGAGCGTCGTCGTTCGGCGCACTTTTATTGCATTGTAAGTGACTCCTTTCGCCAAATTACTTAAGATAAGTCACATCCTCACAAATATAAAAGGTGAATTTGCAAAGTTTAGTGGGTTTAAATGAAGTTATTTACTCTAGAGGGCTATATCAAACATCCAGATAGCCTTTCAGGCTACAAGTATAAAATAATCAACTTGGGGTATTCATTTTTGAAGGTAGAGATAAAACCTGCCACGGCATGCATGCTGCAGTTTTAGCACTGCTCGGATTTGTTTCACCTCAATTGTGTTAGTTCGCAAGTTGTAATGACAAGGGCGGTTTCAACGTGGATGTGCGATGGAACAGTTCTCACTGCTAATCACGTGTTAATTGAATGCAATATGGAATTAGCTTACGATAATGCAGTATCAGTAACACGAAATACAAAGAATGTCATATTTGGTAATAAGAACTGAAATGCCTAATGACTGATAGCCTCAGTAATTGGAGTACCTAGCCAGCAGTATTTCCTACGAAATTCATACCATGATGTGCTAGTTGGCATCATTTAAAACATACTTTGTTATGATAAGTAAGGACTAGGCCTTAGCTCTCAAATTACTTCCCCTTGGGAAGCACAAACACAACCTGTCCACATATTTAAGTTAATTTACTCTACCATGCCACTTTGCAGCCTCATTAATCTAAATTGGATTGTCAGATTTGTCATTCTCCAGAATGCTCCGTACGATGGCATCTAACTTCTCCCCGAATGAATTTGAGCGACAGAATAAACAGTATCCCCAGTAAGATGGAATGACTTTCCAGTTTACAAAGATCACTGAGTCTTCTTTCTTAGACTCTGATTTTATAGTTAGAAGTTGGAATGAGTTAAAAGACATTAATAAATCCAAAATCAGAAACAAGGGTAAACACAGCCCAGCCTTATTGCATTCCCAAGTTAATACGCTTGATCGCGTTATCATATTTAAATAATTATTTGCAAATTTCTGAATTAGACAACATTTACTCCACGTCCACGCTACTAATAAATTATCACACAAATATGGAAGAGATCTGAACAAATTTTGGAAATGGATGGAGAAAAGAACAAGCCGTTTTTAGAGGAATTGACAAGTCTAATTAATTATTAAGTGTATTTTGGCCTTGAGTCAAATACCTGACAATTCCTCGACAAAATGGATACTTTAAATTGAAAGATAGAACCTCCAATGGACGATAGCGACAATCCATTGAAGTCCAAATTGCTGACGATGCTAAAATTTTAAGAAGCTGTAACACTGGATCTGTGGAGACCCGTTCTCTGGCAATCATTTTTGATAATTTTATTGACCAATTCACCGTCTCTAGCGTAAATCCGAGGTTTTTAAAGACCACAAAATTGTTCATTAGTAGCCCACAATACAGATGGCAGGAGTGACGAAGGGATTTTGAATCGAAGTACTCAGGATGGCTACGTGACTTCTACTTATTGGGAAACACATCAAATTATAAGTTGCGATGTTTACGTTAGGTAAGAAATGCCCGCTAATTTAGGTAAAAATGGAATTCCATTTTTTACAGAATATTTGGTCGAAAGTCTTTATCACGAGGCGATTTTTTGCGTAAGTGAATATTACCAGAAGACAAAATCCCAACTGTTTACGGGATTGAGATGCTCCGGAAGCATTAGATTGTGACTTTCTTTGGCCTAAAAACCTGCCAAACATCCGAATCACCTTGACTGGTTTAATTTTTGCTCCTGTATGGGGAAAACTCCAAGATTTGTCTAGGCGTTCAACTCATTCCCGTGTCGACAGTCCCTTTAATTTTAAAATAGATTAATTCTCATTTGAAGCTGTGCTACCCAACAAAAGCGCCGCACTCCTCGGGTGCGACTCATTCGGTCATAACTTTGACCGTCTCATGTCGGTGTTGGTTAATTGTAGGTGTGCTGCGTTCAAATGCGATTTGCATTGACCCTGAAAATACATCAAAGCAGTTAACTAAGTAATAAAAGCATCGCCTTGGCAAATTGTCACAGAACCATAAACTCCTCAAATAGCGGTGTAGACGACTGCAAACTGCACTACCTTTTCTGGTAAGAAGATATCCCATCACCCTAAATGCTGTTGTTGTTGTGCCTATAGCCAATGTTAAGGGTTTCTATTCCGTAATTAATCATGGAGATAGGGCATGAATTTATGTAATATTTGCGACTCAACTTATCCATTTACACTGTGGTTTTTGTGCTTCGTATAAAATGTTGAATGCCATTCTCGAAAGAAAACACAAACAATTGAGGTTGGCATTTCCCGCATCGTATTTGCCTTTAATTTTAAATGCAAATGTTGAGATTTTCCACTAGGGTGGTTAAAATGAAGTGATTTAATGAGCAGTCATAAAATTGCTGTCCCTGCAATCTCGCTTACAGTGTATGCTGAATTATAAAACCGGCACAAAACAAGCTAATGTGTGATTGCACGTCCGTGTGGGTAACATACGAGAGTTGCTGCCACTACTACAGGTCGTCTCACTATTTAATGCTGATTACATGCTAAATGGGGCAAATTAAAGCCAGATTTTTTGAGCCATACATCGCGATATAATATCAGGGTGGTGCCAATTTTTCTTAATTTGCAAAATTTGGCCATTTATGTAAAATTATTATCACGCTAAATAACGGAGACATTGAACGTGGACTGCTTTTTCGTATAGTTTAATAAATGTTACTGTGTTGATTTGTTCGTTTGCTAAAGGCGTGACATGTACTTGACCACCCATAACATGCTGCGGTGAAGCCTATTGGGGTAATTACTCCACCTTCGAAGTGTTTTGCCTCAAGGCAGCAGAGGCAACGATAACGGGAATAACTATCAAGACTTTTGGTAATGCAGGTGGTTCAAATGATTTCTGGACAGTAGAAAATCATGCCAAATAAGTAAGTTATAACACAGTTAAGTAAGTAAAACTTGAACGAAAACACGGTGTGAATCGTGACTAGTTCGAAGTTCGTTTTTCCTTCTAATTAATTAAACAGAGTGTTCATTCAAATGGTGTCAAAATCCGCGCTTCTAACAATGTGCCATTCGTCTTTTATTTATTTAAGTTCTTTACTTAGTAGGACCGCTGCACTATTCAACACCTAATGGCTTAAATGTTTGTACCGGTGTTTATAAAAACCTTAGACCTGTAGTTTGAGTGACCTAAATTTGGCGCCTTCAAGCTGGCATTACAATTGCCATCACCTCGTCGGTGTGGCCGAATTGCGCGCAAAGGCAAGGGCTCCTCGGAAGAAACGTACTTATATGGTGCATGAACCTCACTGGTTGCGTGAGTGGGCTCTTCACTTTAATGCCACTATTACCTGCAAAGTTTTCCCTTGTGCTTGCACATTGTGTTTCCTTTACGCAATATACACATGTGCACTTTTTAACCATGTTTAGCAACAGTGATAACTTGCTCAGAGTAGTAACCAGGTGGAGAAAGCTCAGAAATCGGATAATAAGTTAAGACATAGAGCAAATTCAGGGAGAAAGTGCCCGTGGAGTTGTGGACATTTCTTTAAAATAAAGTTGCTTTTTACTTATTTCTTCTTCGCAAATTTAGAAGTTTATACGGTCCGACAAATTCAGATTCTCCTAGTTAGACAAAATATCACAGGACGTATGGCATTACTCACTGATAGGTTGATTTACAATCGAAGGTAAATATCAAATCCCCCTTCATACTCCATTTTTGTTTGTTATTGTTTGTTAATGGGTGTAAATATCTAATGATGCCCGTGGTTTTCCATTTAATGTGCTTTGCTACTGTAATTTTTTGGCTAAACTTATTTTCAGCATTTAAACCAGAACTGGAGTTTAAAGAAATGCAACTGGAAGAGAGAGCGGACCTCACTTTAGCTTCGAAAACATAATCAACCCTACATAAGTTGGTGGGATGTGGAAAAACTGCAGGGATTAAATTGCGTTTGGAACTAGGGTTTGCAAATGTCATTTTCGCAAGTTAAATAAGCTTAAGTTCCCTACAGAAAACACGGAGGTCTAATCTAGAAAAAGACGTAAAACCCTTTCCTACTGAGAAGACCGCACTTACTACACATTTTCATTCTTCATTAGTCGTAGTGCCTCAAGACTCTCAGTAATACAATTAGTGCTTCTACACCTTAAAAAGGCACTGATGCAGTGATAATTCAGAGCCAATGAGTCAATCTGCCTGATCAGCTCGGAATGATAGTACTTTTACGAGAATCCTTTACTATTATTCTCAATCGGCACAACAAGTGGACCTCTGCTAACTTTTGAGTAAATAGCATTATCAACCTACGTGATATGCTTTCATTGATCGTTGCACTTGAGCCAATTTTATGGGGTAATAATGCATTGTGTGCTATTGTAAGGCAGTGGCTTGTAAGTCACAAGACAGGCTCATTGGATAGTTGTAGAGGGGGGCGGCGTGAGCAGTTTTGTTTCTACAAGACCTGGAGGAGAGAGGTACCAGAACTCCCGGAGAGGATATAGCCTATTTGAAGTTACTCATGCATGCGATAGACAGAAGTTTCGTGCAGATAAGGGCCACAGAATATGCAGGCAGCCACGTGTCCAGGGCTGTCGCTACCCTTCCGCGGCCACCGTATCAGCTGTCTTGATTGAGGACGTTTATTCTCGTGCTGGCGCCACCTCCACAATCGTTCCGCGTGCGCACTTCCCGACGGTGGTGCGGTAAGCATCGGAAAGTAAACCAATGCTGATGGTGATTCAGTTTACTGATAAAAAATTACAAAAAAATCAATTGTGTTCGTGAAATGTACAATTCGCCTTCGAATTCCATGCACCCTATTTAAGCAAAAGTCGTGAAAGCATCGTATGAAATAAAATAGATACCTCTTAGACTGGAGATGAATATATGAGAAAATGACCCAAAATCAATGGACTTTTCTTTGGCTCTGTGTACAAAATTGTTGCCTTACCGTTGTCGTGACAACATTAAAAAGTCCCACCTGGTCTACTACAAAGATAAAACACGAGTAAAAAGGACTATAACTGTAATACATTAATTGATAGTTTAACTCTCGGTTTTGTTAAAAGTGGCCACTGTCTTGCCATCGTTGAAGGGTTGGCCTCCAGCAAATGCCAGTAGAATCAAACCCTTCTGTATGTCAAGCACATAATGTTTCCCCGAGTTATATATCTTTTTTCGTCTTTAAGGTAGAAAGATATGCTTAAAAGAAACACTTTTTTGGGGAAATATGGGTTAGTAATGTAAGGAAATTGCTTCGAATTTCCCTTGAAAATACTGTGATATTCCAAAAGGAGAGAATCTGGCTATTAAACTTATTACGGCACTTAAGAAGTGCTTAAAAACCTGATTCACAAGTATTTTCATTTCAAATATTGCGCTTCTGCGCATCACGGGGCTGGTTGGTGAGGTCGACCGAAGTGTCGAACACGCTGAATGCATTTGCTGCCATTTGATTGGTTCTCGTACGCAGATCGCATCGCGGTGAGATTAGTGGTCGGTCGGGACGAGCGCGTGGAGGAGGGCGACTCGAACACCCGCAACCAAATAGTACCAACTAACACTGCCTATGCTTACTGCTCTGGTCTTTGCTACCCTCCTCTTTGCGGCAATCTTTCCACTGGGTCTGAGGTGACTGGCACAATCCTCTCTGCACTACTGCTTTCACTAATCATCTTTTTAAAGCTCTGCTAATATTTTACGATTGGATTTTCCTTTCATTTACTAGGTTCAGCTTTCTCCTCTTCTCTGACGTTGCCTTGCCCAATCATTTTGCAATCAATGGTATGTCTTTTAAGATGCTTCCATGAAGGCAAGCATTGTCTGAAAATAACATCTGATTCGAATCTTATAAAAACTTTCCGAAAACCACAACAAATCCTTTTTTATAGCCATCTGTAGACGTAAGATAGTTTATTATCATCATCAATACTATAAAAAGTGTTTCTATCTTCAAGGGAAGTGGCGTTAGATTTGTTAAAACTGCCACGATTGAAAGCTTCGACTAGGGGTATTCTGATGTACGAATAGTTGGTTTCTTGTGCGTGGTTGGGCACATATTTGCAAGGACGTCTCTCGTCTCGTTTAGGGGACTAAAAACAAACCACAGTTTCTTGTTTGACTTTATTCTAAAACGATAAATGCACACGTATGGTATCCACAAACTGCCCCACTGCTGTAATCCCTCAACTGGTGGCGTGCAACAAATACGCCTTTATCGTTCACCGGTAATAACTGAAACTGGGACATTGTGAACAAATTCCTTTCGCATATCAAAGTATGTTCTGAGAGCATAGTTTCACTATCGATAGGAAAATCTTGTTTATATGTAAAAACTCATTACAGCATTATATACTCTTAAATTTTAGGGAATGATAGAGTTATTTTGTTGACTTTCGGGGTATTCTGAGCTGGTTCTGTTTACTATGCGTTTTCTTTTAGTAAACCATAAAAGTGTGTCTGCAAAAAAATAATTGGAATCCTTTGCCAATAAGATTTTTACACACTGTTACAAGCATCTTATGACAGAGTGCTTCAGGTAAGGTTGTTTTTCTACTTTGTTCAGAGGCCCCTCTGGCGTTCATCTCGCCATCCACCCTGGGACACTATCACCGGGCCGCTATTTCATCTGATGCACCTGGATGTGCTACCCAAGGAAGGTAAACTACAATTTATCTTAAAAAATACCGTGAAGTGCTTGAATATCCTCTTTAATACTTTCTTGTGCTAAAAAAGTACTTTCAATCATATTGGAACACTAGCGACTAACACTAAAGCTTTATCAAAATTAAATTGCATCAAATAAAAAATGTAGCGTTAATCCGTATTTTCTTGATTGGTGTGGTCTTTTAGAAGCAATCTCATATGATCATCGTCAGAGCTACATTTCGCCATAGCGCCAATATTCTCCTAACAATGCTTGTTGTGAAAATATTCTTAGCACCACTACTTTAATGCAGCACAATTGTATAGATGACATTCCTAAATTCTTTGCCACGGTAAAGTACGCTTAAAGGCAAAGTAAACGTTATCATCAATGCAAGTTGTTTGTCAAAGCTTATTTTCGTTGTAGAGAATGCTTATATAGGATAAATGTGGGGCAAGAATTGTCACACCTTCCCTCCACTTTTTCCCTTATAAAGTATTTGGTACAAACTAGCTAATATGATTGCCTTTTTGTAAACTCCAACAAATAAAGTACCTTACAAAAGACCTTTTTATAGAAATTGCAAATTTAATCATGCAAGATGAATGACGACTTCATTAATTTACATGAAGGAGGGAACTTTAGAGCCTACAAATATCTTTGTCTCGGAGACGTTTCTAAGACCAAATTGAGAGTCGCTGTAAATATTTTTAAAAATTAGAATGTTTATTAACTCATTTTTCTCCACTCATATTCTTAAAAAGTCATCACCAATCATTCAAATTTCCTTGAGTAATTTATGCGTAGCCGCATTTTACCGCTGCATTGTGAACACCTTCAAGACTACATGGTTCTCCTCCAGTTTAATTAATATTTAGTTTCATGTGCTCACTCATGCTTTATTTTTTACCAGATTCTGTTTCAACACTGTAGACTGACGAAATATCATTAAGGAAAGAAATTGTGGAATCACTTGGTAAATTGGGCTATGCATTCTATCATATTGGTCAATCACTGGCGGTTCCAACCTCATATGCTATTTTAGAAAAATTCTCGAACGAAATGGAACCATTGTTGACGCGGCTATTGTGACATTGCTCTGCAACGGTTTGGTCAATCCGCAGAGCATGGGCGTCGGCGGTGGATTTCTAATGGTTTATTACAAGGCGTAAGTCCCTCATCACCAACGTGGTGTTGGCCCGTGATGAAGAACAAATCTGCTTGCCAGATTGAAATTCCACAAATCAGGAACAGTTGTGGACTGGCAGCTCAGTTGTTGACTAAGAAATTGTTTCTACGTAAAATACGTGGATTAGTCGTCCTACTAAGTAAGAAAGAGTTCGCAGTTCACAGTTCACAGTTCAGAAAGAGGTTATGTTGTGCTAAATGTGAGCTTGAATCTGCAGCAAATGCAACATTTTTGTAATGCAAGAATCATGCTCATATTTAGTCAAAAAGTATCAAAAGTAATGTAATGTGCTTTTATACGACCACTTCGCATTTAAAGCACGCGGTTCGGCACAGTATTAATTGTCACGGGTACTTGCATCGCCGCTGAGCAGTGTCGTGTTTTGCTTCAGAGTTGGGCAAGGTTAAATTTACTTCATCATCAGATTATTAAACGTATTAGTTGTTACAGCATTTATTCAACAACCAGAATTCTGTCAGAAGGCATCGTACTATTCCAGCTTTGATTTAATTAATGTACGCAGGAAATGACTGCAACAGCTACCATTGTTTAAATACATGTAGACAATTTTGTCATTGAAACAATACATAGTGGCTCCCACTATCTTCAATTTTTAAAGTGGTACGTTTAAGCTTCAAACAAAAAAATCCACAACTCTTGGAAATGCCTCCATAGAGGAACCAAGGGGTGAAAGTAGCAGCAATGGTACTGAAGACTGGTTCACAAACGTTAGAACTACTTTAATTTCCAAAATTATGCAATTAGGCTACGACTCCTCTTCCTTCACTTGTCTTTTTGCTCACCTTCAAAAGAGAATCAGAATTTTAATGAAACTTGTTTATGCGGAAAATCCAATTTGAAGAATCCGAAGGCCATCTGCATTTGAAAATCATAAGGCTAAACCAAATTTAAAATGTGAAATCCCCAATTGCAGATTCCAGTAGGGTATTTTCAGGAATTCAAACTTAACGTACCCCATTATTTGATCACACTTAGGTCGGAAAAAAAAGCATACGCTCTGGATGCTCGCGAGACAGCCCCCTCCGCCGCGTCGCCAAACATGTATGGTGGCAGAGATCCCATCGAGCGAACCCACGGTAGGGCACATGCTTTAGTGCTTCCCTATTCAAAGACTCTATAAGCGTCCACTTATTGATTAGAAGGTGAGACCACGGATTTTCAATTACCCTAATTTATCAGCTTACCATGGTTTTTGACTAATCTACAAAAGTGTTTATTTAGTTACACAGCTAAATTACTTAGCAATTTTTTGACTTTTAGTTGTTTTTTTGCTCATGAGTACAGACAATTTAAATCAGCTTCACTTTTCATTGTTGTCCCAGCACCTCCAGTATGATTAAGCTACTAAATTGTGGTGATTGGTGTTGCTCTTTATTCAACATCCTTAGGTAATCTCAATGCCTTTTATTTTCAAAGTATGCCTCAGTTGTGCATTGCGTAATCAAACTTCCCTTTATGTTTTTATTTGAATGTGCCACATTTTTGTATTGTAATAATATAACGTCATGAAACAAATCACACCAGATAACAAGATCCAGCTGGTAGATTGTCTGTACCTATTTGCAGCTGAAGCCGTAGAATTGATGGATCACCGTTTTCGGGTCATGGCTCCTTTAACTTTTGGCTGGCTCTCCTCTCAAATGGTCCTGCGTTTCGCGTTGCACACACGACTAAACTACTTGAAGTCACCTTATGGCTAAATTCACCTTTTGCTATAAAGGATTAATCACTTCATTTCAAATGCCACGGTAGTTAGATTGCCTCGGTCGAGACAGAAAGCATTGTCAGACCGCGCAATTCAATATGTAGTTTATGGACAAACTGCCAAATTTTAATGGTGACATTTTTTTGAAGATTACAATTGCTGGCTAGAGTTGTTCAATGATTATCTAAAAAAGCTCATTTCCTATTGCTAAAGATACTTCACTGTAAGCGCTATTTTGCACCTCAACCAGTTCATGCTTTGAACATTATCATGCAGGACCTTTGTCGATTGCCGTTCCGAGCGAACTGAGGGGTTACTATGCGGCTTGGAAGAAGTTTGGTCGACTAAAATGGGCTGAATTATTCCAAGACGCCATCAAAATGTGTCGCAAGGGCACACCAATAACTCCCACTGTCGATCGAATGCTTGCAACGTATGGGACCAAATTTCCTGTGGGTTCAGGAATTTGGTGAGTTGTTTTGCGGTGTCACATGCATATGAATGTGGTGGCTCGTGCGAACAACCTATCTTGGCGTTTAGGTTTATCTAAGGTCTAAGAAGCTATAGCACGAATAAATAAAATGCCTATCACCAGACTGAAAAAAATTTAACCTTAAATTCCCCAGGGCCGCGACTATGACCCTCGAAGTTAATTAAAAGCAAAATATGCGGATCAACTTTTTCTGGAGATGCACAACCGCTTATTATCCATTATTTTGAAGGAAACTCTTTTACAACAAAACGGAAGGTAGGCTGAAGAAACGGGGCGAATTGCTCATTCGGCCAGAATTGGGGAGTTTTCTCGAGCGAGTAGCGGCCAATCCAGAGGATCTGATCACCGGCAGGCTGGTGGAGGAGATGAGGGCGGATCTGGCCGAGGTGCAATCTATAATAAGTCTGCAGGACCTGATTGACTATGAGCCGCTGTGGCGCGCGCCTGTCGAGATGCCGCTGCGGGCTTGGGGTGATGAATGCCCCAGCCTCCGTCTGCTCACCACCCCACCGCCTTCCAGCGGTGTTCTCATCGGACTAGCACTCAACACACTGGCCAGTAAGTGAGAGCTCTCTCCTCAGCGCCATCGCCATGCAAATGCCATTAAAGCAACAGTAGAAAGAGCATCAGCATTTCCTCCATGCACAAATGTCTCCTTCTTTTCCCCTTTTCCATCATTGTAGTTGCCACTACTAGAGGATCTGAACCATTCCTTAAAACATAATAATGTCCATCAGCTTAAAGGTACGTTTATTATTAATGGCTGAGGACTATTTAGGTTACATGACTTAAGGGAAGCTCATGCCACTGACGTATGAGTCGAATAGCGAGAGACCAAAGAGCTTCGTTTAATTAGAAAGACAATCGGAACGAGATCGTTTCTACAGCTAGTTTCCGTTTTGGGCATCTTTCTTGGCGTTCAATGGCGTTCTGCTTCATTGAAATATTATTTGAGTAAAGTAGCGACGAGCTAAGGAGAAAGACGACACTGCTATTTTTTGCCTTCACGACAAGACATTATACAAAATTTAATGGTTTTTGAACCTGTTGATCATCTAAGTAGATTTATCCGTCAGACATTGCTAGACTTCATTCGCTTAAGACTGGGTAATTCCCTGAGAATGTGTTCCAAGTGCCCAACACTTTCAGCAGGAACATCTGTTTAAAATCAAAACTCGTTTGTAAAATCCCTTATGCTTCTCTTTTTTGACCTGATACCTTTTCAATTTCGCCCACTCGCTTATACGAACCAATCCGTGTCTTCTGAATAGTAGGGAGACACTAAATTGGTCTTGTAGTTATTTCTTCAAGACTTCAGTCCTCAAAAATCTAGTCTTGTGCCATTCCTTGCAATTGTACAATGCTCTAAATTAGAGTTGCTACTAGAAGTCAACACTGTTTCCATAACCCTTTTTGCGCAGATTCATCCAATCACTGTGGAGTTATTCTCCTTGTGAATTTTAAGCGTAGTATCCGACCCATGCAATTGTCATTGGCGCTGTTTTGAAATAAACTCGCTTACCCTTGACGCCATCGTAGCGCCTGAGTCCTCTCTAAAGACGTAATGAACCCTATCGGTCTTGAAGTGGGTACTTTTAGGATTACATGGTCTACTGACAGAATTATAGTCTCACTAGCTTTAACGCACGGCAAAGGCAAAACTTGGAACATGGGTAGCAAAACAATTCAGACAGGGAATATTATTTTTAGCTCTTATCTTAAAAATGTTGCACCAATAGAACTGTACTTTATAATAGGCAGCAAGTTTACGTAGTTTGGGACAACACCCATTTGGTTAGACAGCTACGGTTGTTTAGGCCGTAACATTGTCAGCCATGTTGGGACTTTCTTTTTCTTATTTTTCGAATTCCTGAACTTCTTTTGACATCCCCTTCTTCATGGACTTAGAAATTTTCAAAAAACTCGCTTTTATCTCGATTTTGCATACCTTGATGCTAGTTCGCTTTCCAGTTAGCTTTTAAATGTTGAAGTGTTTGAGGAAGCAGTCTTGCCACTTATTCCACTGCAAATTTTGGGATGTGGACTCAGGAGAAAAAAAAGAAATTAGAGCGGACAAGCTGTTAAACGTACTGAATAGCAGAACTGGTTGGTTCTAGAGAGTAAGACCGCAGTGCCACTGGCACTCCTAAGAGATTTAAGTAAACAGGCCAATAGCATCTACACAGTTCAACTTCTCCCATTATTCCTTTAAGCAGCAACATCTGCGCTAAATTTACAGCCTCTTCTCAATATCGCAAGACTATCTGTCAACGCAAAGGTCCTTGTCCTTTTACACGTCACAAGATTGCACAATTTGTCTGAACCCATACTTTTTTTATTTCTAATCATGTTTACATCACCTTCAAATATAGGCTAATCTGCGACTTCCATTCCAATATCCTGCGATCACAATAGCACTATGGAAATCTGACTTTTCTCGGAAATTGTGTGAATTTCAATTCAATGTTACACGTTGCATGGACTTTAGACATAAAATGCACCAAAAGGAATTCATTACATGCGTGCTCACTTACCTTTCTTGGGACAACGAAGGAAGAAAAGTGACCCTTTTGACATAAAATCGATGTGCATAATGCTACAGTTAAAATAAAATAGCGGTAAAAAATGTACTGCCTGTTTGCAAACCGAAAAAAATGAACGCATCCCATGCAGTCCCCGTTACCCCAGCGTTGAGGCGAATAATTTAGTCGCTTTGGATTAGCGCTCTTTACTGGGATTCACAAGATCAATTGGTGTGCTTGTGCTCCGCCCAAAGTGGCCTTTGGTAAACAGATCACCTTTACTTCATTTTTGTCGTATTTGCAGTGGTGTTCAAGTATTACTGCCAACGCTGTCTTTTAGGCTACAATTACACGGACAAGGAGGGTCTATTCGATGGAGATGGTGTCCTCTACTATCATCGACTTGCAGAAGTCTTTAAACTCATCTTCGCCAAACGCTCGTTCCTTACAGACGAATGCTGCATGAACACTGAAGAAGAGCAGGTGAATAGAATAACGAAAATAATGCAAGATCCCTGCTTAGTTGGTAAAATCTGCCGTAAATTCGCATTGTTATTTTTTAAGGGACTTGAACAAATATTCCATAAATGCTTGATTTGTTTAGGAAGAAACATTTTACTTATATAAGGTAAAACTTAGTTTTTGAGAAAAATGATGACATTGCCGGGAGCAGATGAAATCGCGGCCAAAATTACGGACACTGGAACGCATAATTTGAGTTACTACGGCTCAATTTTCGCCTCCATGACCGACATTGGCACATCGCATGTGAGTATGGTTGGACCAGAGGGCGACGGCCTCTCCATCACCTCGACCATTAACATGCCGTAAGTGGTTAGTTAACTGGCCGGTTGCCCAGATAAAGATAACGCCGATTAAGCACAACCTGGTCATCATGCTCTACTCCCCTTTCTCCTTCAAAGGTTCGGCTCGGGAATCGTGGGCTCGCGAACAGGCATTCTCTTCAATAACGAAATGAATGACTTCTCGATCGCAGGGACAACCAACTTTTTCGGTCTGCCACCCGCTCCGGCTCATCTCATTCGACCTAAAGGGCGACCTTTCTCCTCCATGGCCCCCATCATCGTCACCGATGCCGCCAACGGTACCGTCCGACTTGTCATCGGTGCTTCCGGTGGCACCCAGATCATCACTGCCACCATCCAGGTGCTAATCAAACATGTCATCTCATCTTTGTGTTCGAAGGAAAAAGGTACTATCAAAGTATCTTTGTTTTTCTAGGCTACATACGCAAACCTGTACCTGGGTATGAACGTAAAAGGTGCCATTGATTCCATTCGAATACATCATCAGCTCCTCCCGAAGACAATGCGCTACGAGAAAAAACTACCATCAGTCAGTTGAGGACCCTAATCAGGCAGAAAATAATATGCGTGTTATGCACTCATACGAGAGTATATGTATCCCACTCTTCTGTTTTTACCATTTCAACACTGTCTAGAAGTCTATCAAAAACATTGAGAAAAGTGGAGTTAGCTACAAACGCTTAATTTTTTTGATTGATTTAGAAAACGTAACAAATAGTGGAACTACAACCATTTAAGTCTTTTAAAACTTTTTAAAAGGAGATAGTCAATGTACTTTCAATTTCTCGTATTTGAAATTGAAAACAGTAGTCAACCTAATTCAAACCTCTGTATTGTGACGTGCTTTTCTCTCAGTTCATTTTGCAGGGTCTCAAGGACTTAGGACATGAAATATCCGAAAGTGATCTGACATCAGCGGTTCAGGCAATAGAAGTGGCCAACCTCCCCTGTCCGGGGCACTCCAAGCACCAGTGTCTGCTAGTTAATGCTGACTATCGCAAGGGAGGTGATCACGACGGCTTCTGAAGCCGGTCATGTTAGAAATGTCAAAAACCTTGGTTTGACTTTCGTCATAAAGACCTAGTAATTGATGTTACCTTACAAATCCTCCGTCAAATAGTTGGGTAAGAATCGATTAGAAGGAGTTTTGTGCATGAGAAGAGAATTGTAGAAAATTGAATTAGTAAGTCAAAAATCTAGTAAAGGTTGCGTTGTTAGAGATTCTATCAAAAAACAGGCATGAGCGTCAAAAATAAACAATGTGCATATAATTTCAAGGATAACATCTCAGTTCTTGTCTGTATTAGACCTGGCTTAAAGCAATCGTTGTTATCATCATCAATCCGGTGGCCGAAAATGGCTGCTACTCTCCGATGATATGAAAGCGTTACTCTGCGTAAATGTTCAGCGGAACATTTGAAAAATAAGTATTTGTTGTTACTTGTCTTATGCTTAACGAGAATGTCTTTTTCATTTAATAATGGCATATACATGGGGTGAGAGAATTTTTAAACGACTAGTTGTTACTGCTCAAGGTGCGTTGTTAAAGACAATAAAAATTCATAAAGGAATGGTAGATCTGATCAAGGTGCGGAGGACTCCGTTGTTTTAAATTGAATGCAAGCCTCATCATAGGAGAATGATTTTAAGCAAGTATAATCAAAACCTCAAGGCAAGTTAATTTGTACTGAATTTCCGCTTATACGCAGGTAACTTGAGTTGTCTACCCTCCATAGCTCTGAATGCACGTTACTTGGTATTTTGACCTCCTGCGCAAGCATTAAGAGGAAGCTCGCCTCCTACGCGTTCTGCTAGAGCATGCCTTTTCACTAACCGATAAATGGTTGCCATCACAATTATCTCCATGAGATTTCTTAATGTGGTACGCTTTAATTAAAAGAATTAATACCACTCCGAGAAAGACAGTAGGGTTTATAGAAAAAAATGGCTCCTTGGTTCAGAACCTTAGGTATTATCATTGGTACCGAGTACTAGTTCACCATTCCAATCGGTTTAATGCCTGATGTCAAATGGCACACAACTAATCTGTCCGCCACTTATCAGTTCTGAGATGGTTTTGAACAGGTAACATTCCACCTAACTTCTTGATACTCTTGATAGGGCCAATTTGTAGCCTTGGTGAGAGTTTTTACCTGTTGGCAAAATACGGTGCATTTATCTCATTCTTAGGAAACATTAATTTAAGCAAAGCGATTGCCATGTTCAAAGTCTTTGGTAGAAAGTCCAATGAGTTTTGGAACTCCTTTGGGGAGCCTTAATGTAAAGAAAATAGGCCATTCAATTCTGAATTAACTTCGCTAGCATTAAAGATTATCAACACTATTTGAAAATAAACTCAAGACAGAATTAATGACCAGTATAACGAATAGGACATTTTGATCACCTAAAATTGCATGTAAATTGCGTGGATGGTGCGTACTGAAAAAAAAAATGCGAATCGGGCTGCAAGCGGTAATGATAATTTCGAAATGCTTGTTTTTATGGGGTAAACTGCATGCGTGGCCGAACGCAAGAACCACGCATCATAAGTTGACGGAATTCTGACTTGCCATACACACGCATTTAGCGGCCACTGAAACAACTGCGTTTTAGTAAAGCACAAATTTACTACTGGTAGCACGCTAGCTGCAAGCTCAGATTCCGGACTCGCCCAAAGTAGTATTTGTCCTAGCTTTATTGCTCTTCAGCGCTTCAAAGTTACAAGGCAATTGTATCTCTTATAGTACACAAATGTCAAGAAAATTGGTGAATAAATTTTTGCATCCCAAGCCCTCGCAGAAGCCGAAATCAGCCAAAGTGCATATACAAACTCGTATAACGCACAAAAGAGCTGAGAAGCCATGCTTCGGAACAGAAGTACTACCAGCAAAGACTAAAGTATCCTAATGGTTGAGAAAAATAACAAATCACTACAATAGTGATTAAACGTTGGCTGTCAAATAGATTATTTGTTTGACCCATCTTTTTGGTTTTGCAGACGATAAAGACTCCTGCTTTATAGTCCCGCTAAGCTACACAGTATCTGTGCCATGCCAATAGTTCCCCAGGCCTTCCATACATCGTCTTCAGGAAAAACTAGATGTTTAACAAGGAGGGTATTATGTTTAAAGCATCAGAGAAATAGCCGGTTGGACGAAAAATAACTGCATACAAGATGAAAAATTCACCCCAAACAAGTACCCAGTAAACAACTTATCGTCATTATCGGTTTGATTAATGGGGCCATTAGAGTATTGACTTGTGAATTAAAATGAGGTGTCAAGGTCAACCATGCCTCTATTCAAGGTAATACTCAATGAGCTGACCTACAGCGATGTGAGGAGTTATATTTTCATTTCTTCATTGTAAAATCTGTAAAACATCAAGCGTATGCAGAAAACTATTCTTTAATGAAGCTTTAAATAGGAGTATGGGATTCCCGCAACATATCTAAACAGATGGGTTCGCGGGAAAACCTAATACATGTTTTAGCGCCCCGAGACTTCCCTAAAGACAAAAGTAGACAACATGCACAACATGCATTATCAACTAACAGGAGAATTAAAGATACGGCAGGAGGTAAGGATACAACGGCGGATTCCCAAGGTGTCCTCGCTACCAAAACCGGGATTTAAACAACCAGCGCATTACCAATACAACGTGGCGTAGGTTGCAGACGCGTTGCTTCCAATACAAATAATTTGTAAGAGACATGAAATTAATGTCTGCCTTATTTTAATAAAACCGAAAGATTACACTTAATCTGCGATCTAAGGGAGGTTAGAAATTGATGTAATGAGGCCCGCACCGATCTTTTAGCCAAACTTATTAAAATAGGGTAACTTTAGATGATTGCGACACCTTCGCAAACTAATAAAAAAGTAAAAATTATTATCTTCTGTAAATTTAACTACTAAATAGCAGTGTTGAAACTACCCTATTAGCTTGTTTTAATGCGTAAAATACGATAAGCACTGCTGTTCGCCACTGTTATTATTTGAAGTAAAGGATGTTACGTTATCGACTTTTTCCATTGACTTATTCGTATTTGCATCCGTATAGTGCTCAAGGAGACCTTTTCATTGCTGACCTTAGAATTAAGTGTGTGAACGGTATCCGTAATCGTGTGCTGACTAAAGTGTAGCAGGAGTCCTCTTCCGTCGAACGTTGGCATTTTGGTTGTAATTGAGACAATGAATTCCCTATGTATTAAAAACACGAAGTACCGGAATTTTGATCAGAAATGCTGGAATTGTTTGGCTACCGTAATGAGTTTTAAGTGAGGTCATCGACTGAAACCGACTAGTGGATAGGTCCTTACCATCCGAGATTACTTGCGTCAGGATTGGCACCATGAAATGTTTCAGCTATGATAATATCTACCTCAAATGGTAAGCAAAATGCTCTTCTGCTTATGATGCTATGGACATCCGTATTAAAGACTTGTCACCAACTATTCACGACTTTAAACAAGGGTCAATTTGTCCCTTGAAACAATACTTGGGAGTCTACAATCACCCCCTCCCCTCGTCATCGACGATTCTTTTCAAGACTCTCGAGACTAAGTATACTTCAAGACGATCAGCATGTAACCGGCTCAGTGTGAGATCCACAAAAACTTTTACATGGTCAAGGCTGAGGCCCGCGCGACGAAAACAATATGCTGGGCTGGTAACTCCATATGAATGGAAGGTACAGCACAAGCCGCAAGAGGACACGTCCATAGAGTCTGCTCACCTGGGTTAACGGATGGCGTGTACGCGATTCAACCGGTGCTCGAGAAACTGGTTGACGTACCCACCTTCAGACGCCGTAAGGCTGTGGGAACTAAAACCACCACATGTCGGACTGGCCATCAACATCGAATCACCATCATTTAATTCCATTTCTAAAATTAACAACGCATCCAAGGGGGCCTCAAAACTCCGTTAGCCAATGAAGACGAACAATCACTGGGATTTGGAAGCTGTTGAAAGTTAAACTATCTGCCACAGTATCCATCCATTAGCATGACCAAAGGCGGGAGGGTGTCACTGATGTGGCCGTGTGGGTGTATTTGTATAGATCCACAAATTGTAGATTTCTTGCAGAAAATTTGTGGATGAAAACAGCATGGGAGATGTTAGGGCTTAGCCCATAGGTCCGAAATTCCAAGAAGACGTCGGGCGGGCATCGATGGTTTCCATCTCGACACACTCGCAGACATCGAAATGAAAGAAATTGGATTCGTCTTCTCGTAGCACAAAATTTTCCGCAACCGAAGCGCGAGCGTTCGGGGATAGCCGAGGACAACAAGGGAGTGGGTTTGTGAGTGTGGTGAGGGAACTTGTTCAGTCGTGGGTACGTCCGGACTAGATGAGGAATCACCTAAGAGTGAGTTACAGCAGCAGTGCTAAACAATTTGGTACATTTGATTCGCTGATTGATGAGAGTGGTAGGACGACAATTTATTTACATTGGAAGATGTGTGAGCGAGTACGTATACGGTCAGACCGGATTCAAACGACCAAAAAAGAGGGAAAGAGGAAGAAACACAACCCGAATCCACCCACTGCAGGAGTATGGACGGCCGATTTTGTTCACAGAGGTCGCGCACGATCGTCGATGGTTCAAGGGTGTAAGGGATAAGGACAGAGTGGGTGAGGGTGTGAGGAAATGTCTGATATGGTGCTGCACAAAGAAAGTCTGCAATTTCTGAGATGGTGAAAGGTATAAGGCCAGAAAAGTCAAGAGATAAGAAGTCCTAACTAACGAACTTGGAGAAGATCGCAAACATTACAGCAAACACCAAGAGCATGAGTGGAATTACAGTTAGGGAAGACGCCTAAAATGGAAGGAAAGAGCACGTTGTGAATGAATCAAATAGCCCACAGATTAATTCGCGAAAACCCTGAGTGAACATAAACTTTGAGTGCAAGTACCTTTGTGTTAAGGGTTATGTGTCAGAAACACAAGCGGTAAATGTTGCGAAAATCCGATATAAATTTTGCTACCGTTATCTAGGGCGAACTGATGTAGCTGGCGAAAGGTAAAAAGATTAAAGCGCAATACTGGTTAGTGTATGGATTCGTTAAATGGTGTTTACCGACTCAATGCGTCAACTAAAATGCGAAAACCACAACCGTAACTTTCTCAGTAATTACAAATACCATTATTGTGGTTAACTGAGGCATCTAACATTCATACTTCAATAAGATATTGCGAAAAAACGCTAGTGCCATTCGTAATAACACAAAAAATCCTGCATTTACGCAGTCGGCGTCTGGGCAAAGATACATATGTTGAAAGCACCAACTTTCGGCTAGCCTATTTCTGGGGAAATAACGTAATCCAACACCAAATGCGTAAATTAGTTATTGAATTTCATGAAAAATTAGTTACTAAACTGTTTGATAGCATGTACGAAAAAAAGGCTAAATGAGTAGTCGGTTGAGTTGTTTGATTGAGATTGTAAGATTTGCGTACAAACTTCGAGAGGTACAAGATTTCGCACCGTTACCAGACGTCCAGGGACCAGCTCGAGTCGGTCGGTATGGACAGGCGTATCTGCCACGTAGGAAGTGGTGGATGATAGGTGGTTGTTGGAAGAGGGAGCGGTGGAGACACGTGGGTGTTGGTGATCGCGTGCCTGCTGGCGTAGTTTGGTGATTTGCGCTTGCGACTCGACCAGCGCTGCCTCGAGCTCGGCCCGCTGAGAGTGCAGCTGTTCCACCTCGTTACGGTGCTGGCGCGCCTCCTCCACTAGTCTGCGGTGGTTCTCTCGGGTCTGCTCCATCTGCTCCTCTATGTCGCCCAAGCGCGCGCGCAGAACGCAACACTCCGCATGCATCTCCTCTAGGTCCTGTTCTGACGTCGCTCTCTTGGAGTCATCTGCTCCACTCACTGTTGCCGACGCCGTCTCAACCCATCCTGTGGCAATTAGTAGCGAGAAGTGGGTCAGACACAAAACGAAGTCGCCTCTCAGTAAACCGTACGTTTTCTAATGTAATCAGACAGTTTCAGGCAAAAATAACAGGAGCAATTCGATATGGATGTTACTTAAAATTACAAACCAACCGTACAAACTCATTGTAAAAAGTAAGAACAAAAAGGAGGTGTATTTTGTTGCCAATGCAGCAATCAGTTTCATGGCCGGTTTTAAGCAATGACAGTGGAAGGCACGCGTAAACCAAAATTTGCTGCTGCGTTTTCGTAAAGCTAATCGTTCAATCGGTACGACTTTACTCGTTGAAGAAAAGTCAACGTCGCCAATGTAAGATAAGCGAACTTATTTTTAGTCTCATCTAAGATCCGCAGGGCAAAAAATATTGCAAAGAAAGGATAGCAAAAAGGTAAGATGAATGAAGGACGGAGCCACGGTCGAGCATTTGTAAACACAAACTTTGGCAAAGGTCCGTTGATTGTCTCAAGAAAAAGCTCCTATTACTTACAAGAGTTTCTTTAGCAGATATTATTAGTGACAAAGATTCCGCAGACGGCTAAAACACCTGTGTCTACATCGCTACACTTGCAGGAGCGGAATGCACACCGTGTGCCAGAGTTAAGAGGGAAATTCAAGGGAAATGCTCACCAGCATAGGAAAAACAACGCCAACAACAGCCCCCCATAATAAACGGGAGGAGTAAAACTATCCAATAAAGTGTCGTTCGAGATTGCAGCAGTAAAGTTTTAGGATTAATATTCGGATCCGAAGGCGTTAACAAAGTGTCCCGAGTTCAAAAAATGACAGACTGACCAGCTTTCTGTAAATCAGCTATGTGCGCCTTGTATTGTTCGATTTCTGCATTTGCCAAACGCACGCACTCTATAAAAAGAACAAAAACGGAAGGATTAATAGCTAGAACACAAAGTTGAATCAATTTGGGAAAAGATATGCAAACATGGCCACATATCTACCAACAAAGCAAGGGAGAAGCAATTGCAATTCTGAACGAAAAGTGGCTAGATGCTCGAACTATCATACAAACAAATGTCTTCGGCGTAAAACAACCTTCCTATTTCAAACGGCCCTGTCACCCAACAATATACAACACATCACGTCCCGTTAATGCCAATCACTTTTCGCTCGTTCCTCCAGCTGATTTTTATAGCAGTGGTGAGGGAAATATGACCAAACGAACAGAAGGGTAAGCTACTTAAAGGGTGAATCCATGCAATAGAAACTGCTGAATTGAACATGGATATGCGTTCAGGAATAGATACTGGATGAAAAGGACGTGGGACGGTAGCGTCATATTACACATCAAAAACAGTAAATAGGACGCCTTTAAAAAGATGCCAGCAAGAAGTAAAAAAAACATGAGTTCGTTGTTGTTTACTACGTATTAAGAATTGATACAATTCATTTAACTACTCCAAATGTTAACTTTATTACAATGCTGGGCACACTCTTGGTTACTGAAACAACTGTTCCTACCCATGTCCTGCTTAATATGGAACCGAGTTTTAGTAAATATGAGGAGATAACATAGAAGAGGGCACCGAAACGCTTATCTCAAACATACATTAGACAGTTGTAGAAAGACAGGATTTGTGGTCGTGTATGGAGAGAAATTTGATGACACTACAGAAGTTGCATGTTTTCCGTGATTGGGGGAATCTATGTTCATACTAACGCACACCCACACGTGCACGAAGGCATGTCGACACTAGGTGTAATTCACTCCAAACGGTCCACTTGCGCTGCTCACCTACGCGTAGATTAGTCAGCTCTGGTGCTTTCCCCATACCACACGAAATGGTTTGGGAGGGACGAAATCACAGCGAGATCCACAGGGGATTTCGCCTACTGCCTCGTAGGAATTTGACTTATCGAAGTTGAAATAGCCGACTAAAAAATCCACTCAATATGCCATCCATCGATTCACTTTGCAAACTGTCAAACTTGGAAATTTACAAAATGGATGGATTACAATCATACTCCTGCAATTTCTTCCGAACGTAGTTTGCATTTCAATCATCTCAATTCCAGAAGACTTGACAAACGGTACCTCGATGGCCATTTTCACTAAAACGCTGTATATGCTATGTGCAAGCGACAATTACAAATGGATTAGCTAGATAAAAATGGCACCTTTTACAATTCTGATTAGATCATACCGTTGTATTGCAAATGCGTTTCAGGTTTTTAACCGCGTTCACAGATGCAGAAGATAAGCTTCGTCATAAACCATGACATCCAGTTTTCAATCAAGCTCCATGGCGCGCCATTTTACAAAACTCACGAGAATTTGTCATAAAAAAACATAAAAGTACACAAACTATAGTTAGCCACTTGATAATTTATAAAGTGCCTCGATCTCTACGAACCTGCTACCTTCCCTGCTTCTCAAGCCGCAGTTACTAGTCTTATTAAACAAAAAAACCAACCGCGTAAATGCAGGACTTCCTCAGTATCAGGCGACATTGAAAAGGATAGAGAGCCGTTGCCACTGGAGACGGTTGGAGAAGCGCTGAGAGAATCGGCACCAGCGACCGTGACACCCTCGTCGCAGGCAGATGATGGCGCCGCTTCGACAGCCTTGTCAACGAGGTTGCTCAGTGTCAGGAAACTGGGTCGTTTGAATGTCTTACCCTCAACGCTAGCCAGGAGAGCTTCGGAACCATCATCAACACCAGAGCTGCTGAGACCTATCGTAGGGATGAAAGAAGATCAGAATATCGTTCACAGCTCTCCAACACTTATTCATCGGCGTCAACACAATACACCATCCAGCATAGAGACAGCTAGTAAGCACCTAACCTGAATATGTTTAAAAAAGTATGATTAGAAGCATTTGAGGGTTTATCCTCCGCTGCAAATCAAGAAGCCTAATTTAGTAAACACTTTCTTTGCGGCCGCCATATTGACTTGATGGTGAAGTGATCCCCAGATCACTTCATGTCCCACTACTCAAGGTAACCCTACACCTTTGTTGAATTGAAGGCAATGAACATGTGAATTCTCCACACTCTTCGGCTAGAATAAATAGTGCTCGGGTAATTCAAACGTCCGAAACCATTGCCATGGGAAGTAATGAAGGACACAATGGGTGACAGCCATCAAATTCTCAAGTTAGCAAGGATTACTAGCATACCAATTCCAGACGAGAAAGCTAGAGACTAATTATTCGGTAAAAAGTCTTCCTGTTTGTAAATGTAGCCAATATAGGAACAAAATCAAATGGAATAAACGACTCGGGTGTTTTTATTGAAATGATGAGAATTCAAGGCAGTGATTCAGCAATTATCTTGACTAATGCGAATGAATTGGTAAAGATAATTTGAATCATTGTAATAAAAGGGAAGAACGGCAGAACTCTTGTGCGATTCTTTAGGAAATGATACGGTGGCACTACGCACGCGTACGCACAGAGAGGTGAGCGCCTGCGGTCACACAAGCGCACCCGAGTGTGCGTCTGCGCGCGCCGCCTATTCCGCCAAACCAATCGATAAGTCGAGTCGTAATTGGCTCGGGTGAATGGAGTTGCTGCCATGGTGTACCATTGACGCAATTCATGCAACACCGCGCAAAATGCCGCAGACAATCAAGAGTCCGGGGTATAAGGACTGAAATCATTGCAATTCAAACAGCGAACGGGGCTCGTAAATGCAATATCAGCGAAATCTGTAGATACAAGCCTTGGGCCTGTTAAAATAATTTGACCGCGGACAATAACTCCCCACGCCTGAACGCCTATTTTACTAGCATATTAACTGGCATAGAAGCATCCCCGAATTCGCATAAAATCATATCAAGAAATTGTTGGTAACTACTTTCACAAGCAAAGAGTTTGATAAAGCCACATTTCGCAATTTTTAATTGCTTATCCCAAGTTGACATCGCAATTCAAATACCCTAGCCCCACCTACCAGGTCCAGCCTGTATGCAACCCTGGACTGTCAAAATTCAAGGTCTCTGAAGATGGCATGGTTAGCATGACACTTCCAGTTATAGCATATGTCCAAATAACGACCTTCAGTTAAAAATAACCGTATTTTCATGAGACACTAAACCCAACCCAATTACAATCATGAAATATTGGGTTCAGAAGGACTGTACTACGCTCAAGCGATGTCCTTCAATCTCAGCCTCTAAGACACTGCAAAGGTATTAGGTGCGACAGTAACAAACCCTATGAAAATGGATAAACAACCCACAAATCTTATTGATGAGTTCAGCGGCAGCTGAGGGATTCACTTGTCGCAAGTAGGCGTGGAGACTGGTCATAGCGGCCTCGTTGTGTCTTACGATGCGCTTGACCAAAGATTCGATCGAGGATGATGAAAGACTTGAAACATCGCTAACGAAGTCTGTGCTAGCGTCATCGATAACCGCCTCAGAACTCCCCTCGAGTTTCTTCTCTTTGTCCAGGTCAGTTGTTACCGCAAGGGCTGAGACCTTGGCTAAGGCAAGAATTGAAATGATATTTTACGGAGTCGCACGAGGATTCAACATCCTGTGCATAAGTCAAGACACCTCGAATCTTCTGTAGTATTCTCTGATTGCAGCTAATTTTAAACGCTTGACAGTCACTCAAGTTTCTTCACCATACAAGTCTCCATTTTCCTGGGAAGTATTTTGGGGCGAAATAGATGACCATTTTGTTGATACTTAGAATGGGAACACTTGAAAACAAGTTTCTGTTTCGAGAGGTACAAGAAGCAGAGGCAAATTACCATCATAGGGAGACACTCCAAACAAGAACAATCAGATGACAGCTACCCTTTGACGATGATTTAAGGACGTGCGTACGCGAGAGCAACCCATGTAACAGGTTGCGCCGAATAAGTATGCGGTTAAAATGCTGGGCGTCGCACGGAACAGTCGTATAGGTGTGAGTATATGAAGTCAGCCTCACGAAACCAAGCTAAACCGTTTAGTTCAGCACCAACTGGGAGCCGATCCTCGAATAATTCACAGCGAATATTGAATTCGTAGCGCCCAAGCTGGCACACGACGCGGATCCGCAAGCAGCCACTGTAACACCTACCGCTCTACTAGACTCTAGGCATGATACACTAACCTCAACTCCATCAATAACTTCTGGTGAATGATCGCAAATTTCGACACCTAACCGCAATGAAACAAAAAAACCCTGGACGGAGCCGAAATACTTTTGCCAAAGCACGCACTCACAGTGTATGTAGGAGATTTTAACAAATTTACTATCGTGCTAAGGTAGTGACCATATCGACTGAGTTACAAGGTGATTCAGTAAATTAAATACGTGAAGCATTTTCTTAGAAGTATTTACAATAAAAGGGAAAACAGCGAGGAGTAAAATGCAACGCAACAACATCGAAGCGTACCATCGAGAACACGTATTAGCTCTAAGGCTCGGTGAAAATCACGAATACTATCAGAAATATATTCATTGGCTTCCAGTTTGCCCGATTCCACCATTAGTTCGTCGCCAGTGACTTGTTCTATAAAGAAGTATAGTACTGAATTAAAGGAATAGAAGGACCTAAGATTAATCACTTCAAACGTTCAAATTATCAAAAAATTTTTGAGTGGTTTACTTGACCCAGTCAGGTGGGCAAAACCCCATCAAAAGGGGACGCGCGTACCACGCACCAGTTGCTTTTTAAAATGCAATATTGCACTCACCAACCGGTTGGTTTCGTGGAATGGCGTTATCATTGGCCTTGAGTGAGTCAACCACAGCCTTTGCGCCTTTTGAGTTCACTGACGCATTTGATTCTAAACAAGAAGCGTGTCATACACCCCCATTCACCAGTGAATCACACAAACGGACCCAGTCGTTACCTTTATCAGCGTCATCCACGTATGATAGGCCATTGACGAGCCCAGAAGGGCCTGTTTAAAAGATGTGCAATATGGTGTTGCGTTTCCCTTACCCACACACACATTCATATTGCAGAGAGTTAACTCACCTTTTGATTGAACCTGCTCGTACAGTTCTTTGGTCACAGCCAATTCGTGAGACACGCGTTCTAATTGTTCCTTCAAGGCAGTGTTTTCCCGAGAAGCGTGTTGAAGTTGGTCGTTCAACTGATTGCGCTCTGTAGTGAGCTCCTGAAAATACCACCAAAAAACAAGAATTATTCTGCCCCATTTCAAATAATAACCCCAGAAGTCCCACTGCGTCGCAAATCATCAAGCATTAAAATAGGGTGGTCATAGGCAAAGGAATGGAAGCCACTTGCAGGCCATACATTTCTCGACCATTACAAAGTAGTAACTAAATGATTACAAATGCCAACCATGAAGTTGGTTTAAAACTAGCAGCCAAAATATAATAAAAGTTTTGGAAATAAACAGCATGAAGATCAGTTGACAAAATACGTTAAGGGATAATTGTTCAACTCACGTTGAGACGCTGCGAAACTGTGGACAAGTTTGTCTTGTATTCATCGGAAATATTACTGCAGGCGTCCTGAGCAGAGGCATATTCGTTACGCAGATGCGTGCACTCGCGCTCTAGATCCTCGACTGTTCGCTAAAATTCGACAATATCAGATTTGTCTCAATTACGGAGAAATCTTTGCAAGATTTAGTGCAAAGGATTACCTCAAGATCTTTAATACGCTGTAAAGCGATCTCTTTATCGTTAATAATTTTAGTTAGTTGAGTCTTGCTTTCTGCCTCTTGAAGATTCTTCTCCTCTAGCAGGTCACTCAGTCTCATTTTGAGGGAATTTTCGGGAAGTTCCTAGACGAGTTTAACGGTAAATTCGTAAAACCAACCTCTTTAAACATCCTCATTTGGCTTTCATAGAGGTTAAATTTTTGTAGCAGCTTCTCCTCATTGAGCATAGCCTGCCAGCCCAACTCTGAAGCGAGGGTGGCTTGTTGAAGAGCCTGACGCAGTGCTTCTAGCTTTTTATCAAGGGCTTGCTCACGGAACATCGCATCATTGAGGAAGCAGGAGATCTGAAACATCTGTTCATTGTTTATTGATATGAGACCACTGGGGAGAGCATCGCCGGTGTGACCAAGCTTCGGCTTTGCCTCTTGACCGTTCGGGAGAATAAGAGTAACACTAGCGATAATACAGCCATGCGTTGTATCATGCTCAACCACATCTACGCCAAAGCGAATCACATCGCCAGAAAATATCTGCCGGTCGCAATAATCGCTATCATCACGTTTTGAGACCCGAGTATTGTTCACGAAGGTGCCGTTGCTACTGTTGGTGTCCCGTAGCCAAAACTACAGAAATTACAAAATCCAGAAGCAAACCTCATCAGAACTGAACCAAATAACAGCATGATTTCGAGAAAGCACTTTGCAATCAAAAATAGCATTGTTCGGTGATGCCTTTGAACGGGCAACAGCACGACCAACTTTGATAATATCATTGACCACGATGGTCCTCTCCTCAAAGTAATGCGAGTCATGCTGACACGTAAGGATCATAATAGGTTGACCTTTCCGCTGCATCATCGGGGTGACTGTATGTAAACCGCAAAGATAAAGAATTCTAAAAGGAATAGGAAATGTTGAGCAGTGTGGGGCAGAACACTCCCCGGACTTTAATAGGCAGCAGCATTGCAGAGCGAAAAACCAATTTTACAACACAGTGACTAGGTAACGCCAAAGACCACAACTCCAGACTATCATGAGGTGCCAAAGTACTCTATGAATCAAATGAAAAGAAAACGCAAGATTTGCTTCTATTTTGCTAAAAAATATTACATAACAGCAAAAGAACGAAAAGAAGTCGGTAAGGATTTCAAGCGGGAACATGAACAAGTAGTTTGTGAATAGTCAGGGGCAACCAAAGGTGAAATTGGCTAAGGGGCTAGGCATGACCATTGCTAAATAATGCAACAAGCCAAACCTAGAAACAATACAAGGGGGAATGCAGTTCTTGTACTGAACGTAAACGGTTAGAACAGGTGGGTGCCATGAACAAATATAAGCATTTAAACTGGCAAACCAAGAAAAGGCGTTAAAGAACTAACCAAAATAGAAAAATGTCCGATACAAATACGGTAAGCATGAAGCGCAAGATTTAAGCTATGTACCGCAATTGCAGGTTCGAGAAACTACCACGAGTGACGCAACCACACAAGTACTACCAGCACAAACCATACGTGCTGCCAAATCAGATAATAAAATAATATAATATTAGTACAAACGTGCAAATATAGATAATATTACACGACAAATCGTGAAAACGAGTAAGGCGATCTAACTACTACGTGAATTAGACGACTGCAGAGTGCAAATCACGAGACCATGAAAACCAATATCCGATTACAATACATTACATTAGAACTAACCGTCAGCCGTGCCCTACCAGTGATATTCCATCGAAATCAATAGAATCATATGACAAAACCGAAAGCCGAATATACAAGCCTACGAATCGCGCTCCTCCCAGGCTGATTGGCATCTAAAACATTCCGGTTAATGAAATATGACGGGTTATTATAGTTAAAAAATCCAAAGCAACCTAAGTACCACAGCTCGATACTAAAACTATAAATAAGTGAATTCTGTGCGTCCGTCAACGAAACCATTTGAAGATCCACTAGGATTACCAGGGTCCATAACAAAACTGAAAACACGCATATAAGACGATGAATTTAAATCTTCTTTGACTAAATTTTTTTCAAAAGTCAGAGAGAGGACAGAAATGCATATCTGCGGTTCTCGATTTTATTCATTTTAGCTGAGGAAAATCGTGTGCACTAAAGGTAAAACCTGCCCTTTAAAAAAGGCAGATGTAATAATACATACTCAATAATTTTATGCCTATGTGCAGTTTTACATAGTCGACTCTAGCAGCACCTAGGGCAAAGGCATACCATACTAGTTTAAGCAGTGTTTTCAGCATTAGTAGAAGCCTCAAAAAGACAACTTAGACAAGATATAACTTTAAAAATTTCCCAGTTAAAAAAACTTAATCTTTTGCCCTACTAGGAGTAAATCAACAGCTTCGAAAATTCGTTGCAAGCTACACGCAGATGTTTGCAAAAATTGCATCCACTTATTAAAAGCCAATGCAAACTAAAGAGGGCAGATTGTGGCTCAACAACACACACGACAACTTGCAAATTACTCGCAAACTATGCTACACTAATCCTCTGCTAAAACTGAGGGGCATTGATATAGCGTCCCGAGACTCCCTGAAGACGAAAGAAGACAATACTCATGCAGAATATGTATATTCAGCACGGAGAAGGTGTCTGGGCCATTGGCATGGCCCAAAAGGCCAGCCCACCCAGCGAGGTACAAGGGGACTAATTCAATGTACAAAAGTGGCGCCTCACCAGAACCGAGGGATAAACCACTATCCTATTACAATTGTCGCCACAAATTTTATTACTTAAAATAAAAACATCAGGGTGTATTGCTTTTGAATGCAGGTGCACCTTTTACTTGAACACAAGGCTGTACCACTGGTGCTCTGTGTATTTCAAGCCGTCCAGTAGGTCGTACATGGACGCAGGCAAATCTTATGCTGTGTTTTTGAATGCAAACGCAAAATGTTGGACGTACAGCCTGGAATTTGTCACCATTTCGTTTTCCATACATTGTGATAAGGCTTGATATAAATTATTTTGTTTAGCTTTGTTTTGTTGAACCGCATGACTGCAATCTAGTCGGGGTACTTTAAGGAACGTGTGTTGTTTTCAAGATGGATAATGACATTGATACGCTTGTACAGATGGGTTGGAAGAAGGAATACGCGTAATGCTTCGTAATTTTTTTATAAGACTAGAGAAAAAGCGCTTAGTGAAACAAATCACCAAGGCCTGGAGGCGGCAATCAACTGGTTTGTTCTAGTAGCGTTAATTTTACTCCTAGGATTTTTGCACATCCTGCTGTTGATTCGGTGACGTCTCAGGCTACGAGAGGTTTGCTTTTTTAGTAATACACGTGTAGATGATTTGGGTATCAACATTTCTACACTGAAAACCTTGCCGCAGGTCCCTCAATCTTTCGTTTGCGAGGAGTAAAGCCTTTCATTGTGATTAATTCACGTATTAGATGTGGAAGACCTCTGCGTAGCAATGATGATGTCGAGTTGCACAGTGCTCGAACTGGACACATCAATTTTAAGGAATCTGCTGACAAGTTAAAGCCGCTTACGGATGAGGAGAAACAGGTGCAGATGCGCCGACTGGAAGTACGTAGATTCTAAGACTTTGAAGCTTTAATTTTTTGAGGAAGCGATAGTTCGAAGAAAAATGAAGAGGGAGGAGGAGGAGAGACAAAAATGTCTTCAGGATGAGAAAAATCGTCGTTTACAAGGGAAGGCTTCCCAGAGCGCGAAGGCGATGTTTAGGGAAGAAATGATGAGAAGAGAGGCTGAGCAGTTGAAAAGGGACAGAGCTGAAGATAAAGCTTACAGGTTTGTTTGCCTAGGTTCCTTCTCATTAACTTCTCTATTGTTTGTCGTAAGCACTACCTTACTTTATGCGGTTAACTCTCTCAAAAAATGTCTTGTGCTGCTGTTTTTGGGCAAATTTTCAAAAAAAATTTTGCTGGCACTTCATTTTTTAATGAAAATACCTGTAGCACTCCAAAATCTATTGAAAGCGCTTGTCTAGGATGTATTACACTTGCCACCCCTGTAATTTGATTTGCTTTATTTTTTAGAGAAAAACTTCTTGCAGAAATCGAGGCGGAGAAGGCCGAAAGGGTGCGGTTGATGTCTATTGCTTATAATTTTTCATTAACTGCGCCCCATACTATTGCTAGTGTGTATTAATACATAGCTTATCTTATATGCAAGTTTCTTTTACACATTCCATGTGTTCAAGAAAATATTTATCGATGTTAGTGAATACACTAATCCGTTAAAGTCTATGTCTAAAATACTAAATACGTTTCATCTCGCTATCAATTTTTTGGTTCTAATACGTTGTCATGATGTAAATGAATGAATTTCCTTTTCCAGATTGCTAAACGAAAGGGCGTACATTCCAAGGAGATCGCCCCCGCAGCGGCTTCTCAGCGTGAAGCTAAGTCGCCTAATTCTCCTGCAGAATGTCGACTACAGATTCGTACTCCATTCGGACAGCCATTAAGGGGAACATTTAAATCTTCCGAAAACTTAGGGGCCGTGGTCCTTTATGTTAGCCAAAATTGGCCGATGCATCCAGACAGCACCACTCGTATGACTATTAACAGTTGCGAGATAACGCTCCAGACGGCCTTCCCCAACCGGAAATTTGGCGAGGAGGACCTCTCTAAGACTCTAAATGAGTTGGGTGGGTAGCAATTTTTCACACTGCTGAATTGGTGGCGATGATGTACTCCGAAAGCACATCAACTAAGACTGGCTTATTTTAGAAAAGATTATTAAATAGGATAGAGAATAATAGTTTTTAGGTTATTTTCTTGTGGATAGCTGTGTCACTCGGCTTGGATCCTGCAGCCTAGCGGAAACCATGTACCAAGATTCTCCTTCCAATTTTTTGTTTGGAAGATTCAATTAATTTCATTTTAGGTGTAAATAATTTCTCAACATAATTGGGGAATGGCATACTAAACCCGGCGCTTGAAATTAGTTTTGCGAACGAATATAAAAAGTAAACAGCATATTTTGAGCTCACCACTCGTCTTCGCGGTTTAGGTACCCCTAATGGAGTGCATGCATTTCCAATTCTAGGTCTCTGCCCCACAGCGGTTCTCATGGCCCGTAGAAATGCGACGTTTTAAGACATCGCAATCCATGTCTTTCATTTGTGTCTTTCTGTCTCGAATAGACGTTTTCATTGATCATTTGGATTTTTTGTGATTAGTGATAGGGTGGTTTGGAAGCCAAGGCTTTTAAGTTCATGCGCGAGCGAACATCAGCGGTAGTGATAACATTTTAATTTCTTCAACTTAGTTGGTCTAGAAGAAGGTTTCTCTTTATACAGGGGGGGGGGGGGGGTACGTTAGCTTACTACTCTTACAGGTTTCCAGTTGAGTGGGTCACAGTTGTAACTACTTCGCTTGAAACAGTTTTGTAGATGCGCTCAGGAGTGCTTTTCTTGCGTTTGGAGCCGGATTGGGTGGATGGACCTGTGGGCTACTGCTAGATAGAAGGGCATCGTCGTGTGACATGTTACCATTGTGGTTTCCTTAATCTTCGTTGGTGTTGTGATAATTTGAGGCAGAATGGAGGTACACGCGCTAGTAATGTACAGAGGGGTTAGGAGGCCGCCAGCGGGACTTGCACAATGTGTAATACGATAGTGGTTTATCCCTCGGTTTTAGTGAGGCGCCACTTTTGTACTTCGAATTAGCCCCCTTGTACCTCGCTGGGTGGGCTGGCCTTTTGGGCCATGCCAATAGCCCAGACACCTCCGTGCTGAATATATATATTCTGCCCGAGTATTTTGTCTTCTTTCGTCTTCAGGGAGTCTCGGGACGCTACAAATGCGCCGCAAATGGGAAGTACGGCCTGTGGAGATCTAAGATATTGTTCGAATAAATAAAAGACCTAATCACTACTACCATCTTAGTTGTGACGTAGAAAACTCCTCATGAGCACCATGAAGAAGTCTGAAGGGTAGAAATTAAAACAATTTTCCAGAGGACTAACAGCGCAGAGATGCCGTCTGAGTAACTATAACATTTTATTAATGCATGCCTTTATGCACTGGAGCCTCTTGAAAACCCACCCATGTATGCAGTAAGAGATATCGCTTAAGAAAATTGGAATAAAATCTGTTTTGCACGTTCGGAACCTGTAAAATCTGAATTTTTTGCCAACGAAATTACATTTGAAATTGACTAATAGTGCAATGATGATGTCGATGGGTAGCCCAAATCTCTTGATTTGTGGTAAATCAGCTTTCGGCCTAACCTTGAACCATTAGTTTAATCACACAATTTCTGTGCTGACTATGCAACGCGTAAAACTATTTTTCGGTAGCTATGGTCAGGCGCTGCTTCGAGGACTTGGTATCAATATGTCATCGCGAAAGAGCTCTAACTCACGATGCTCATATGTATAAGGAGAATCGTACTTCTTAAATATCTTTATTTCTATCCTTTAAGCACGAGACCTATGCTTGGAAGTAGCAGGTCTCTTACAACTGGCACCCAGTCTACCGTCTGATGAAATAAGGACAATTATAGTCCCGTACCTGCAATATATCACAGCTTATATTTAGAAACAACGCGCTCCGATATACTGGCGGTATCATGGCTGAAGCCTACGCTCAAATCTGCCCAATAAACATGTTTGTTTTTTTGTTTCCAAAGACTCAGTATCATAGAAAGCGAATTTTTGTCATTACACCCCATGAACGACTCGTAGAAAACAGGTTTCTGCTTTCCTCTTGCGATTGCTTAATGACATCCAACTACAGTATTCCTGTAGACAAAGACAGTGAGTCATTGTGGTTGATAAAACACAAGCAGCGTATTGTGGTTTTTATGGGTTCTTCGTTTCATAGGAATGGGTGGTAAGGCAGCGTGAAACCTTGACATTTAGTAAGGATGATATGCATATGCCACTTGAATTTCTTTAATGTCTGTGCTGGGCTAATTACTCGGTTCATTTCATCGTGGAAATTCACTTTGATATTTGGTATTTTGCCGTTTATGTATCATATTTATCTCTGTAAGATTTAAAATGTGCCTAAAGATCCGATGTCGTAAATGAGTGTGTCTCTTTTTAAGTTTAAAGTATTTAGAGTCCAATAAAGTCAGACAAATCTGTCCAAATTGATTCGTATTTTGTTGTTTCTCTACTCATGTATTTGGCTATCGATACTTATACATCTTCTTGCACTTTTTATTTAAGTTAGCCATGAAATATGGAAAACAGGAAGTTGCGAGTATATCTCCCGTCTGGAAGATGAAAGGAATCTTGGAGTTGAAATTCAGTTGCCATTCATCACGAAAATAATGGAAGAGTATGGTAGTCTCTAAGATTATGCTTTTTCTCAGTCATAAAGAAAATTTTACTATTATTCCCATTTACGTTGGTCTCATCGAATTCAAGAATATTAGTTGGTTTGCCATGAAACTAATGCCGTACTTCAAAGATAAGACCAATTTATTCATTTTTTCACTTAGCCTCACACATTGGGGTAAGGTGAAACTCTTTTCTAACGTTAATTGCTTAGGAAGCATCTACGGCTTCGATAAACTTAACGAATCGAAACCAACCGTGCTTGATACAATCAAGGAGCATGATATTTGCGCCATAGAAGCACTAAAGACACTTAATTTCAAGGCATTCGATCTACAAATATCTCTGGCAAAAACACCTCTTCCTGACTTTCCCGTTTGGGGAATCTTTTTGAAGTTGGCTCAAACTCTGCTTAATGAAGAGGAATATCGATGCAGAAAATTGCCTGACGCAGAATTCTTTAAAGCTTATCAAGAGGTGGGAGAACTTAAGGTGCATGGACTCGCCTGGTCATTACCAGATTTGACCAAGGATAGAAGTTCGATATCATTTGTTTCGGCTTCGTTTAGAAGGTATTTCAAAAAGTGTTGGACTGGTCCTCCAAATCCTTGTGGTGAAATGGATAAGTCGTGTCCATAAGAGTTGGATTTATGTAAACATTTTTTTATAAGTGCTTTATTTTTTTCATTTACTGAAATAAACTTTCGATGTGTATCCGACTTTTCTTGTGTATATCAAGCTGTTTTTGAAACGTCACGTAATATCCGCCGGGTAACTATGGTATTCCCTGTAAACCCGTTGAAACTTAAAACCCCCGCTTTCATTGGTTTCACCCATTCTACGGATGCTGAAGTTGTGTATACAGTAACACTTAAGACCAATATATGGCCATATTGTCAGCTATTTTACTACGCCTAGTTGGTGAAAAGCGCAAAAAATTTACAATATTGAGGAACAGTTAAATAATGTCGAGCAACTTCGGGAAATACAGTTTTTTTAGGATCCATTTTTACCATTCGATGTAAGCTGTGACAACGTGTTCTACATTGGCTGCGTGGTGCGATTCCCCTTCGTCTTCGGGTCGGCTGACTTTTTCAAGATCTCCACCCCCCTTTCATGAGGTAGGGGTAGATTCGAGCAACAAATTTTTCAGCGCCAGCTTGCCATCGATTCCCTTTTTGCCTTCAACAAACCTACGGCATTCCTCTAGTCAGACAAAATCCCTGGTTCTGCTATCGAAATGTTTTCATTTGTGGTCTGGGATTCGTAAACCTGCAACTAATAACTCAAATCTCCGCCCTAAAATAAAAAACCTACTTATGATATACAGTACGTGGGCCATTGCACTTTCAGTTTGTGAGTGATCGTGGATGACCAAACGGCAGCGCCCTATGCAGCACTTGCCTGGCCTAAAAATAGTCAAAAAGAGTTTACGTACACTTCGTTGGGACTGTCTCTTTGCCTTCCTTTTAAATCCTTTATTGTGCAGAAACTTTATTCAAAATTCTGTGTCTCAATCCATTCCTTAGGCCACTCTCCGTGGGTATCAGTCTTTATTCCTAACTTAGAACAATTGGTGCTTTTCATTCGCCAAAATGAGGGGCAGTTGCGAACAGTATCTTTTTTAAAAATAGCATGTTGTGGTATGTTTTACCGTTTCCAACAAGATTTATTGAGTAATTTGTCACCTTTTAAAGGGAATTGCATGGTACGGTTAATTATGCTTATTTCGCTGAAGAGAGTTACTTGAGGAACAGATGAATTGGCCCAGCATGCACCTCCAACGGATCAGCAATTGCGTTGTCAAAAGTTATGATACCAATAACGCTCTCATCCTCTTAAATTATCGGCGAAGGTGGGACCTTTGCTTGATCGTGGATGCGGTTCTAGTAATTTGCTATTCAATGTATTCTGCCTATATCTAAGGTAATATATTGGTTCAATTGAGCAATTATTCGTATGTTTCTGGCACTATCAGGGATGACCACGATTGCCAATGACAGTTATTTTTGTCTTCACTTTTCAAGATGCTATCTGAATCTATGCAATGACCGTCGGTTGTACGTGACGTCTGTACTGAATGCTAGGTGGGGAAAATGACAAGTGGACAAGAGGATCGTACATCACTCCAATTGCTTGCTGCTAGTAGTACCTAAATAGGTAACGAAAGGTTATTTTTGATTTTAAAACCGGTGATAGCCCTCATCTTGCTCAATATGAGGATTTGCATTGACTTAATTTTAATGTGCCTTACTTATCCTGTAGTCGTTAACCACCTGATCCGAGAAAAGCTTTGCATTACATTTAGGCGTGTACGTATACACACGGACTCCGCTCAGGAGCATGATCCTCCATCTGATCCTATAGCCTCCCAGTCTTACTTTGCGTTAACAATAAATCTTTACCCGACTATGAAAAAGCCTCGGAGAGTCACATGTGCATTGATATCAAACACCTTGAAAATTTTATCCTCTAAGTAAAACTACCGGAAATAATTCTGCACTGGCAGAAGCATTTTTCAGAGGCGGGTATGCTCAATTACAATTAAGAGAAATTTACAGCTACACCATTTTTTTGGAAGCAGCATTACTCAAAGAATACCTTAATTCAGACTACAAATGTTGGGGGGACTAGGTTAGTAATATAAAAGGGCAAAAAATGGCAAAAAAATGAAATGCTCTGACCAGAATAAACAGGAGCTTGAATTTAGGTGCCTATCAGAAACTCAAAATAGAACATTGCCTGATAAAAAGTGGATCCTGTTTTGTCTTTCTCACCAGAAATTTAACATTCATCTTCTCTTTGGAGATTAGTGATGGCCGAAAAAACTCCTTTATTCCAATTTAAAAAAACCCACTTGTCATCTGAAAATACTAGGACTCAGCATAGATTGCATACCAGTCTTTCTTACAATTAGATACGTAGTCGAAACTTTAGTGAACCTTTTAGCTCAACATGCAAACACCTGAAATTTATTAACTGCTGCAAGGCAAAAAAAAAATTAGGCACAGCTGCAGCTACAAAGATGTGCAAAAATCAACAAAAAAGGATCAGCGTGTTATTTGTTCTATGGGCTTTTGTTTTAATAGATGCCTCAGGGTTTCATTGGACTGCCATTTTGCGTTCTACTCCCGTCAGGTTTGTTGTTCGTTATTCCGTTGATCATTCTAGACGGTCTTCAAAATGCGTTCAGCTAGTGATATTAAGGCTGATCAGGATAAAAAGCTGTTTGTCGGTGGATTACACCATTCTACGACCGAAGGTCAGTTGCGCGAGTTTTACTCTCAATGGGGCGAAATTACCGATGTTGTGGTTATGAAAGATCAAAGAACTGGCAAATCTCGCGGTTTTGGGTTTGTTACATTTGCTGAATCCTCTTCAGTGGATGCAGCACAAGCTGCTCGCCCACATACCATTGATGGGAAGACTATTGATTCAAAGCGAGCCATGCCCCGCGAAGAAACGAGTCCTGAGGTTCACGCTGCCGTAAAGAAGATTTTTGTTGGGGCGTTAAAAAAAGATGTGACGAACGAGGACCTGTCGCAGTATTTTTCGCAATTTGGAACAGTGGTGGATGCTTCTGTGGTCATGTCGAAAGACAGAAATGAGTCTCGTGGATTCGCTTTTGTCACTTTTGATGACACAGACGCAGTAGATAAAGTTATTCTCTCCAAGCCGCACAGCATCAATGAAAATAAGATTGACGTTCGCAAAGCATTGAGCAAAGACGAGATGAATCGCATTCGCGCTCGTCCTCCTCGTCCTGATCCTCGTCAATCTTGGGGCAATGGTAAGCTTTTCAGCTTTAATGTCTGTTTGTCGCATAGATAACTCATGGAGTGGTCATCGTTATGATAGTGGGTATAATCAGGCTTATGGCTACCAAGGTTATGGAAATTACGGTAATGGAGGTGGTTATGGTAAGAACCGTAAACATTTAACGACTGGTAGGTTATCCTCAAGGATATGGTTATGGCGATCCTCTACCATCTTGGGGACCTAGCTCAAATGGAGACAGTGGTTTCGGTTCTTACCAGCAGTCCTATGGTGGTGGTCCTATGCGTGGAGGTCCGCAGCCTTATCCTAGATCTGCACCCTATGGTCAAAATAGCTGGCAGCAGCGCCAATAATTTTGAATTAAATGTAGGAATGCAGGGAGCTGTCTCAGTGCATTTCCTTAACTTTATTATTCACCATCAGCTGTCTTGTATATTAACTTCGAAATCATTGCTATAGTCGGCATGTGGCGCTTGTTCGCTGATATGCTCCCTCTATACGTAATGCTTAGCCTGTTCGCCTAGGCTAATCCTTCTCTGGCATAATGTCGACGGTGTTTTTTACTCATCAGTGTTGTTAAATTATAATTGAACTTGAATTCTCTTATTGAATGGTTGTTTCGGTTGTACAGGTTTGAGATATTGGGGCGTCGGGGTCCCGGTGATGCCAGCAGGGAGTCTTGGTGCTGCCTGGAAACTTGCAGGTAATGCTTGGTCACGGTTGAAAGTGAAGTATGTGAGCGCAGGTCGGTGATGGCGTAGGTTTATAGCTTAGGTCTGTGCTGCCATGTTGCATACGATAGGTGCGGTCTAGGGCGCCGCTAAAGCGGCAGGTTGATGCAGGTTCCACGGTTCAGCAGTTTTTGTTCCCTTGTCTTTTTTTGTTAATAAAGCTATTGACAGTGGCAAGTGTCACTTCTCCCTTGGGCGGGCTTGACCTTTCTCGGTTCGGGGTGGGTTCCCGATGTCCTCACCTGTTTGGGTCGTGGGGTGTGGTGTTCGTCGTGGTTGCTGTGGCGGCTAGCTGTTGAGTTGGTGGGGCGGTCTGATGTGGCGGGGTCTTGGAGACGGTTTTCGGGGGATGGCTTGGGTTTGTCAGCTGTCTTGGAGTAAGCGCGTGGCTCCAGCATGAATGCGGGGGGTTGCGGGTACGTTGCTCTCAGTGGATCTTTCCTTAATGTTTTAAGTATAAGGCTTAGTGAGATCTGATTCTTTGTGGTCGTCGGGACACAGGCTTCTTAAATCACTGGGGTAATCTTGCATATTACTAAAATTAAATTTTTTCAAAGGAAGATTTTTTGATTCAGCAGTTTGCTGCCTGACAACAGGGGTTGATTCGGGACTTAAAACGTCATACTAGCCTATTAATGATTAACTGTTTGATGATGCTGATGCTGTCATTACTAAGCTTCGTGTATATAGACACACCGAGATTCCTATTTGTCGTGAGAGAATGAAGCCGCAGGGGGATGCGAAGGAGGATCAGGGCAAGAAGTTATTTGTTGGTGGTATTAATCACAAGACTGAGGAAAAGTCTTTAAGGGAATACTTCTCCAAATATGGTGAAATCGTCGACGTTGTTGTAATGAAGGACTCGCACACTGGGAAACCTAGGGGTTTCGGTTTCATTACTTTCAAGGATGCGTCCGCCGTTGATGCTGCCCAGAACGCACGTCCACACACCCTCGATGGGAAGGAAATTGACACTAAACGGGCGATGCCACGTGAGGAAAGTAGCCCGGAAGTACATGCTGCGGTGAAGAAGATTTTTGTTGGGGCTCTTAAGAAGGATATTACCAGCGAAGATTTAAATGAGTATTTCTCTACCTTTGGCACGATTGTCGAGGCTTCCGTTGTTGTGGCAAAAGATACTAATGAGTCTCGTGGCTTTGGTTTTGTTACATTTGACGATACTGATGCAGTCGATAAGGTTATTCTTGGCCGTCCGCATACCATTAAAGATCATAAAATCGATGTACGCAAAGCCCTCAGTAAGGAGGAGATGGGCAGGCTTAGATCGCGCCCGCCACGTCAAGGACCAAACTTTTGGAATCAGGGTATGCATATAATCTAAGCTTGCTTAAATCATAGGCCCTCCTGATTACCGTCAACAGGGTTGGAATCATGTCTATAACCAGGGTGGGTATGGCTCTAGTTATGGTTACGGTAATGATCAATATGGTAAGCTAGTCTGCTAGATTAATCTCCGATCTTTCGCAGGCAATGGCTATGGATATGATAACTACCAACAATCTTGGGACTACCAGTCTGCTGATTCATTTGGATCTTATAGCCAGCAGCCCTATGGCGGCGGTCCCATGCGCGGAGGTCCTCAGTATTCTAGACCAGCACCATACGGAGGTCCAAATTCTTGGGGACAGCAGCGTTAAATAAATTGGTCTGTCATTCGCAGTTGTATATGCCCTATTTATAAACGGTGATGCATTTCCCACTTTTGTATCGTCTCATTTTGTAAGATACATACTGTCGTTTAATGGGTCTCTGCATCCAGGTATCCTTCAACTTGAGGTTAGTGAAGAAACGTTTTGAGGGCAATCTTTCCGCTGGCGTGGCACCCTCTTGGGGTCACTCAGCCTTTCAGGCCCTAGTCGGTACTGTGGTTTCCCTTATAAGAGTGAGGTGGAGGGCTCGCTTGGACTTATCCTTTGATCTGTTCTCGAAGGTGTGCTATGGAGTTCCGCGAGATAAAGTCTAGCTCGGATGTCTGCTGACGGTGGAGGGGCCGCTGTGCATGGGTTTGCGCAAGTCGAGATTCATTCGCCGGGTTCCACTCCTGCACTTGATCTTTGAGTGGCTTCGTAGCCTTTGGGTAGGGCTACTGGAATTGCAGATTTTTGGTGTCGACTAAGGCGGTCGCTGCGTATGCCAGCTTGTGCAGCCGTTTGTTGGCGCGGTGTTGTAGGTGTGTCCACTCAAATTCACATCGATTATCTTATTCGATTTAATCCTCAACTGTCAACATTATGTCCCTCCGATCTGCACTATAGAAATGCTATGCCTTCATATTGATGCATGGTGTGCTTGTGGTCGGGGCTTAGAACGTTGGAAGGTTCAGAGGGTGGAGTTTTCCAATCATTAATCTTAGAATAATAAGCCCAAGTTAGGTGGAAATTCACGGTTTCCGATAAATTGGTTAACGAGGGTCTGCTCTCTGACACTTGAGCAAATGTTGACAAGGGCATGGGTTGCACGTCAGCAGGGACTAGAATTGTCTAATGAATGAGAAAGTGACCTTTTGTTCTGAAACGTACGTTTCATTTAACCCTACATCAATTCAACCTGCTTACGCAATAAACATAAGCGTGGTCCATTTGCACCGAATAGTTCGTGTTCGATAAATTTTGGGCCACCTAGTTGTGCCATCTGAATGGTCGTGGAGGGGGTAAGTAAATGTTATGCTTAACCCACTTGTTGCGATGCTACGTCGATATAGGAGCTCTTCGGCATGTGTGTAATGTGGCGTTTTGAAGCTGCGAATGCGTTCCTGTATATCACGCGCGGGGACGTTGGCATAAACAAACGACGGTTTTATGGGATTTTAAATGAAATACTTGGCCTTCTCATTGCAACGCATTTTCGTAGGCGTCGGGCTGGGCAATCTAATTAAACACGCGGAGCGCTCAGGTTGCAAACATTTTGGTCCTGAAAGGACTTAGGAGCTCAGATACGGAAGGTGATTGTCTTTGAAAGTGTGACGATTGGTTGTCACATATTTCTCTACTTTTTGCACTAACTGATTCTGCATAGAACTACTTATTGTTTAATACTGTGTTGACTGATTTTAGACGTAGTGGTATAGCGCCCCATGATTTCCCTGAAGACGTAGGAAGACATTACTCGGGCAGAATATGCACATTTGACATGCAGTAGGGCTCGGGGCTACTGGCACAGGCCAAAGACCAGCCCACGCAACGAAGGCACATCGGCGGAGACCCAAAGTGGTACCTTTATCAAAAGCGAGAGTTAAGCAAACAACCAACTTATTATAGTGGCTTACCAACCCCAGCAAAGTCACTCCACCCCCCAACACTGGCGTGACTATTGGTGGGATTCTGTTGCAAGGCTTGACGAGTCTACTTTAAAGCACCAATGTGCACTGGTAACAAACTAGTTTGTATCTGGGCAAGGTCTTAATCTTAAATAAAGAGAAAGAGTAAGACATCCATTCTCGTTCACGTAAGTTCATTTCAATGCTTGTCAACGGCAAGGCGATTTGAAAGCCACAATGCTGCAATGTGGCGCAATACCTTCAACAAACTAGGGATTTATGAGGAATTTTCGTATCCCTACTTTTCCTCACCCTATATTATTTTTTATACTACGCTTATTTTTCACCCATGTGGTAGGGGTTTATGTCAATCAGAACAAAACCTAGTGACGATGCGAATTTAAGCACTTAGATAAATATGCTGCCAGCAGGAAAGGGACCTGAAGATGGTGTGCTATCTTTATGCAAGCTGTGACATCAGGAATATTTTTAGCAATATGTTTATCCGGATTTTTTTATCTTATAGTGGAAGTAAGGCAGCATTCCACCTGCTAGATTTGATGAGCGAATCGGTGGTGTATGTTTTTCCCAGCTACTCGAACACCTTAATCTGACTATCCTGAATGTGTGAAAATGCCTTCTTTTGGAAACACTAAGCACAGACAACACAAAAGTGAACTAGCTGTGAACTTGTGATGGAAAATGTCTCCTGGTGTACATGAGATTAATGTTTTTGATCGGAAGAACGAACGAACGAATACTCAAATCCGGGCATGTAAATTGGAATATGACTGCATTTAAGCCGAAGAAGAACGCGAGGCTTGTTGCATGCCCTCACCGCTCCTCCAGTGAGCCGGAGGTAACGCGTACGCGAGGTCTCGATACCTGACGGTGAGTGTGGCGCAGATCCGCATGTCGCGACTGGTTGACCGCAATCACGTCTACGCGCACGCTCCCCTGAGTCCCCACCCAGCTGAGTCAGCTGTGTGGGGACTGGCAATGGTTGTCTCAGGTCAATTCAGTTGCAAAACAATGTTTCCGTGACCGAATGTGGGAACAAACAGGGTCACTCACGGCTCACTGGTCGATATTAGGACTACCAAATTCCGCTTTGACTGGCACTTGTGGCAGAAGCGACGTGCAGTTGACCAAGACCATGAGGTTAAAAGCCATTTTCAAATTCCATATTGGCATACTGGTAATGCAGAATGTTGTTAAACATTTTGTAGAGGTAGGTTGAAACGGACCTAATTTCTCTTTACGAACATACGGGTCTTATCTTCTGACTAGAAAATGTTGAAATTCAGCTGGCAAGTATCTTTGCATTCGAGAAAAGTGGAGCCTAACAAGTCTGCGCCAAATGCTGTTTACATCTCCCGCGTAAAGTATGCCTATTTAACTAAATTGTGAATTTTCATGTACCTACGAGTAGCTTCAAAAATACAAAACCCTCCTTTCAGCCTCAAAGGGAACTACTACAATGCCTCTCCTAGCTAAGTTTTCAGAACTTATGTGAAGTAAACTAATTTTGTCATGGTCTCACGTAAAACTAGGACTCTTCTAAATGAAAGGATTAGTAAAAATGCTGTTAAACTCAATTTTAATTCACAATCAATTTGTGTTCCTGCCAAAATGTCCGCACTAGTGATTTAAAATGACATGCATGCATCTTAAAGCATATTTTTAGTCAAAAAGGAATTTGCTTGGCGTGGCATTTATTTGGTGAATGAACAATACAGGGACCTGAGAGTACCCTACTATTTGTTTGTTAGTAGACGAGAAACTCTTTGGAATGAGAAAATGGGTATTACATCTGTGACAGATTTCCCCTTTATTGAATGACAAAAGTAATAGTGCCATTCATGGAAGTCACACACGTTCACTTGTCTCCATGGAAATAGCTGAAGATGATCACGCTCACATGATGCCTGGCCCATGGAAGTAATTATACAGATTCAGGTAACATTGCCTAATACATACAAATCATAAGAGCTTTCGCAGTACTTTTTTTCAACAACATAATAATGCCAACTCATTAACGGAATCTTTCGTAGGTCACCAAGAGAATAAACGCATTTTACAAATGCAGCTGACCGAGTTAATTTAACTACGATTTTACCACTACATATATTGACTCTACCGTTGCGTTTCATTGTAAAACAAAACCCCTAAATTGGGATACCAAATCCAAAGATTCTGACAGAAGATCCGATGTTGTTTCATTGAGCCTCCATTTTCAGTCTAGAAAAACCAGACTGGTTGCATGCTGTGCAAAAATAATATTCTGACAAGATGGCCGTAGTTGATAAATAATTAAATAAATAAAAATGTCATAACACCACAAAGAATTGCTTGCTTAAAACTATACTCTCAGACGCCTGTGAAGTTCTTTTACCATTCAATCACCCTAAAATGCTACAATCGCTGACGAGTAAACAAGTGTAGCGAGTTCAGTTAATCCAAAAAAGTGAATTAAACATGGGAGAAAATCTCCTCAAATAAAAAGGCAAATGTCCAGAATTTATCTAAAAAACTCGGTTTTAATTGAAAGTTGCATTTCACAACTACTCGCCTTTAAACAAACTCTACTGTTACATTTACCGAGACACTATAGGAGTCAGGTTTTTTAAGAGCCATCTGGGCTGGTGGGATTAAGCGGTTTGTGGCCGATGGTCATAAATGGACTTCCCAGAATTTAAAAAAGGCGAGCAAATTAGTAAAAAATTTTAAGCAAGTGTAAAAATTGTAATTTAATTGAATCATTCTACCTAAATTCATAAAAAGTATGCACTTTGACCGTATTTTACAA